AACACTCCTGGGGCCGGTGGGACGGACACACCTTCACCTGCAGGCAGCAGGACACACAGCTTCCCTCCAGGAGCCACAACAGCCGAGTGAGCAAGGACAAGAGACCGGGAAACAGGCAGCCTTGCTCAATGGAGCGAAGGAAAGCCCTGTAACAAGGGCTGGACCTTGGGAAGTCTGGCAGGGAGCAGAGGTACCATAAGGTAGTACCAGGTGTGAGAACCCACACAAAGAGCTTTCAAGTGGGTCTGACGCCACGGGAAAGCAAATGGGTGGCCCTGGGGGGGGGGGGGTGCTGCTCCACCCCAGTGTGTACGTGGGAATGCGCGGGATAGGACTGTTTTCTCGCTTTTTTTCTGTTGTGCATGGCTCTGGCCCTGGGGGTCCAGGAGGGCCCAGCCTGTCACGTTAGGGGCCTCTTCCCCCCTGAAGTGTTCTTTACATTCAGGTCACATGAATAATAAGTAGGAAAATGGTTTCCATGTATATGTAACAGGTAAAAGTTACACTCAAAATGCAGAGAATATCTAGAAGGTAATTTCTATAAGTACTAAGTAGAAAGATAGGGCGTCAAATAGAAATGTAGCCAAGGAACTTACGAAATATATATCCGACCTACCTGTACGGGTGCAAACACATGTATGTAAAAGCATAGATAATAATCTAAAATGACACAAGAGAAATTTTAACAAGTACTAGAAGATGGAAAGTGAGAAATAAGAATTATCACTTCTGAGTTCATTTATTTCCATTATGTGTTAATTTTTAAAAAAACAGACTATATTCTACTTGAATGGATGTTTAAAATTTTAAAGTCATTTTTTTAATATTTGTTTTGGAGAGAGAGAGAGTGAGAGAGAGACAGAGAGACAGAATTGGAAGCAGCTCCAGGCTCCGAGCTGTCAGCACAGAGCCCAATGTGGGGCTCAAACTCACAGACCATGAGATCATGACATGAGCTGAAGTCAGCAGCTTAACTAACTGAGCCCCCCAGGAGCCTCTAAGATTATTTACTTTGAAAGACAGCATGAGCAGGTGCGCTAAAGTAATTATTAATTTTCGAAATGGTTTAACTTCAAGGATATTCCTCAAAACACAAGTGGAAAGAAGCTCCCCGCAATTTTAAGAGTCTCCTACAGGGTTTCCAATAGTTTACTGAGCCTACTTTGTTCGGCATGGAGATGTGAACTCGTCTGGAACTGCCTTTCGTGTGAGGGGTGCAGGCGGGGACACCCGCACCCCCTCCCCACCTTGGGAAGCCACACCCTGGGGGGTTCCGGCTCCCCCAGCGGTCGGAATGCACCCCCCTTCCCATTGGCCGAACCCTCCGGGGCCCTGGTGTCAGGCAAGCTTCTAACCCAAGCACAGCTACCCCGAAGGCCTCCTCCCGGGGAGTGCGGGGGGCGGGGCAGGGGCCGCGAGGCTCGGGTACTGACCGCGGCTCAGGGGCAGCAGGCGGCTCAGGTAGGGGAAGCTCGCTCTGCGCAGCTCGTCCAGCTTCTCCTGCAGCTTGCGCACCTGGCTGTCGGAGCGGCTGACGCGCTGGCGCAGGGTCTTCAGCTCGCCGTTCTTCTTCTCCACCTGCTCCCGCAGGCAGCACACCTGGCTCTTGCTCTGGCGGGACGAGAAGCAGTAGGAGTGCAGCGAGTCGATGAGCCTGCAGGCGCCGGACGCCGACAGGATGACCTCGTTGATGGACATGGGGCTGGCGTCGCTGTGCTCGCTCTGCACGGCTTCCGCCGCTGGCTTAGGGGTGACGTCCGTTGGAGGGGCGGAGGGGCTCTGGGAGGGCTTCTGCGGCGTGGCCGTGAGCGATGAACTCGGGGGGCTCTGGGCCAAGGCCTTGTCGGGCCCCAGGCTGGTCCCGCTGCAGCCGGGCTCCACGTCTCTCTTCAGCCTTTTCCGGTCAACGGGCTCTCGGGGCACAGACGCCCTCTCGCGCGCGTGCTTGGACGAGAAACTGTAGGAATGGAGCGAGCCAATAAACTTGCAGGCCCCCGACCCTGGCGGGGTAAAGTCATCCACGGAAATGCCGCTCTTGTCCACCAGGCCTCCGTCCGGCGTGGCGGCGCTCTCACCGCTGGCGTCCACCGCAGACGCCTCTGCCTCGCCCTGACTGCCGGCGGCGGGGGTGGCCGGGCCATCGCCCGGAGTTCCTTCCAGGGCCTGCGGCGCCCGCTCCCGACCGGCGGCTTCCTGGGCGGCCCCTGGTGAGCTCTCACCCTGCGGTGCGGCCTGCTTCACCTTCCGGGACCCGGGCTTGGCCATCGGGTTTGCACCTGAGGACGACGACGCACCTGTGGCTCCTTTTCCGTCTGCCCCGCTTGCGTGTCCCCTCAGGCTGCCCGAGGCCTTTCTGGTGTCCTTCCTCCGGGTGCGGCCATGGCCTCCCGTGCCCCTCTTCTTCTCCGGCAGGTGGAAGATGGAGGGGACGGCCGTGGGCTTGAGCAGGCGGTGCTGGTCCTCCAGCCTCTTGGAGAAGCTGTCTTTGGTGAAATGTTCACTACAGAGGAAAGAATACTTGGTGGGGGTCCAGTTGTCCCTCTGAACAGCTTTTAACCACTGGATCAGACGCTTTGAGTCCTTCAGGGGGAACCTGCAGGAAAAGTGACAAACGGATTAGAAAAAAAAAAAAAAAGAACTAAATGTCTCCTCCTACAATTATCAACTGCAAACACCCAACCCCTCATTGACTCTACCCATTTAAAACCTCAGTAAAAACATAAGGGACTCCTTCTCTTTGCAAGTGATCGTGAGATGGGCGCCGGCCACAAGGAGCTCACAGTTTGCAGGGCAGAGAAAGGATGCCGGTAACTCCTCCCAGGCTGTAGCGACTGTCCTGTAGGGACATAGAATGCTCGGAGAGATCGCACGGGAGGGCATCCGACCACAGGGAAAGCTCTGGGAAGCCCTGGAAATAGTTTCTAGAAACACACAGAAGAACCACCCTGCTGGTGTGCCTCGGAGGCAAGATGCTGGGCGCTGAAACGAGGATGGCCGGGCTCCTACTTAGGGTCAGGTCTGGCTCTGGCCAGCAGGACGGGAGGGAGGGAGCAGGCGACACCCCAGATGTCCCGCCTGATGCCTGACGCTCACAGCTGGAGCTGGGACTCCAGCTACTGACAGTAGATCCTAAGCTGCAGTTCCGCGTTTCTACTGTATTTCCGCTGCCAGGAGCAAAAGTGCCTTTTAAAGAGCAAACAGCTCCCCGAAAACACTGAGTTAAATACTTAGCAATCATTTCTTCTCATTGTTCTACAAGATCCCTATTTAGAAAAGTTGGACCAAACTCTGCGCTGTGTATGGGCTGGGTGGGTTCTTCCCAAGGCCTTCTCTGCCCCACCTGAGGTCACCTAACCCGCCTGAAGCCACTGGGGACCAGAACCGGGACAAGGCAGACACCAACTCCCCAGGAAGTTTGGTGTGACGCGACTCTCCACACTTCCTCAATGCTTTGTGAACCCATGCCCCCCAGACCCCGATTCCCACACCCTGTGCCCTGTACCAGCGTAGACCACTCAGGATGCCAGCCAATGATTTGCCTCATTTTTGAAGGCAGTATCAAAACTTGAGGGACACAGGCTCCAAGGAAACTCAAGAGAGCATGGTGGCTGACCTCTAAAACACTGTTACCAGTTCTCTCGATAGACTGTAACAGTTTAAGAAAATAAACCACTGTGAACTCCCAACAAAGCTCCAGGTAACAAACGGCCTTCCAGTCTTTAAAACTTAACCCCTTGTAGCATAAAACAGAAGTATCTACGGGAGGGCTTTCCTGTGAGCAAGTGGGGGCCCGGGAACAGGCGCGTTTCCAGAAGCCCTCAGGAAGAGGGCCGGGTCCGCTGGGAAGAAGGGGTGAGGAGCGCCTGGTGCAGGGGCGGGTAGGGCGAGCCCCTGGCTGCAGGGCGCAGAATGCATCCCCAGGGACGCGCCTGAGCGCGGCAGGGCCACCTCTCGGCGCGACCGCCAGGACCCCGCCGCGGGCAGAGCGTGAGGGCGCGCGTGTCCGTGCTCGAGGTACAACCTGCATCTGCTTGGCCCGGTCCGATCGCCCAGATCAAGGCAGGCTCCTTCGCGGTCGAAAGAACACGAAAGTCACAGAAAACGCAAGAGCACAACTAACCTAAGAGCGTTTCCAGGACACACTGTCTGGAAACAGCGGTGCCAGCCCGAATCAATGGAGCGCAGGGTGGCCGCGGGGTGGGGGTGAGAGAGGGTGGTGGCGGCCGTAAGGTGGGCGCCGGGTGGCCTCCACGTCGGCGCGGGGTGGGTGCCGGGTGGCGGAAGGGCGAAGGGCCGGTGGCCGCCGAGTGGCCGCCCGTGGGCGCCGGAGTGGCCGCGGTGGCCCGAGACGCCCGGCCCAGAGACAGCGGCCCGGGCCAAGGTCACACAGCGCCCCACGCTGACTCACTCCCGGGACCGGCCCCGAGGCCCAGCGTACCGAGGGCCGCCCGCCTCGGGCCGGGCCGCGCGGCCTCAGTTTCCCCGCGGTGCCGGGCCGGGCCGGGCCGGGCGGGGGCGTGGCCGGGCGGGCCGCGCGGGCGGCGGGCCGGGCGGCGGCGGGCGGGGCCCGGTTACCTGTGGAAGGAGACGGCGCGCTTCTCCCCCTTGCCCTGACGGTTGGAGCAGTTCGCGGCCGCGCAGCAGATCACCATCTCGGGCCTCAGGCCGCCGCGCCGCCGCCAGGCTCCGGCCCTCGCCTCGCCGCGCCGCGAGCGGGACCGCCCCGAGGGGAGGGCGCGCGGCGACACGGCTGCGGGACGTGGGAGCCGGCCCCCGCGGCTCCCGTACGGCAAGATGGCGGCGCGCGCCCGGCCGCCCGGCCGCCCGGCCCCCAGGCCGGGCCTCGGCGTGCCCGGGTTCCCCAGCACCAGGCTGGGCGCAGCCCGAAGCTCGCGGCGTCGGGGGTGGGCGGGGGCGCCCCGGGCCGGCCGGCCCGTACGGCGGCATGGCGCGCCGGCCCGTCCGTACGCCAAGATGGCCGCGCCGGCAGCCCCTGAGCACGGCGGGCTAACGCGCCCCCCCACTCCGGGGCCCCGCCGCCCTCCCGCGTCTGCTTCCGCTAGCTCGACGGGTCGCTGCCGGGGTCCCCGGGGCGAACGATGCAGGCCGCCAGGGAGCCGAGCGCGCGGGCCCAGCCCTGGCTTCTGGCGCCGCCGTACGCCAAGATGGCGGAGGTGCTTTTCCTCCCTCACTTCCGGCCCCGCCCGCTCCCGCTAGGCCCGGATTGGCCCCGGCTGCGGACCGTCGCGTCGCGCTGCGGAACCGTCGGAGCGACGCCGCTCTCAGTCGGCGGCCGGAGAGGGAAGATGGACGCAGGTGAGGCCCCGGGCGGGTGCGGGGCTACCCGCGGGCGGCGCTCTCCTGTCCCCTCGGCCGCTGGGGCGTCACCCAGCCTCGGCGGGTGTGCGGGCTGGGCGCGGGGCCGCGGGGCGGTGCTGGCCCTCACGCGGAGCGGGGCGGGGACGGCGTCCGTGGGAAGGCCGGCGCGGATGTGACAGCGGGTGTTTGCGTGTCTCGGCGCTCTTTCGGTCCCGTCCGCAGCTCTCGGGCGCCCGGCGACAGGTCCAAGGCCGGCTCGGACGAGAAGGGGCGGCGTGGTGTCCGAGACGGGACACCGCCTCGGTGTCGGGCGCTCGTTGGGGGTCGGGCGGAGCTGGCTCTAGAAACTGCGGCCGGCGAGTGCCTTGTCTCCCCCCGCCCCACCTCATGCCCCGGGAATTAAGAAGTGGAGACTCCTGAATTCTCTGGAGGCCAGGAACATACTCACGGCACACGCTTCTTCTTTCTTAATTAAATTCAGTGACCAGTAGATCATGCCAGCTTGCTTTCCGTGGTTGAAGAGAAAAACTGAATTCATCTCATCATAACTTAACTTCTTGGGGTCCTAATGCAAAGTACGTGGCCGGGCGGGAGGGTGTGTGTATTATCCGTGTGTGCACGTCCGTAAGCGAATATCCGCATGTACGGTGTACTGGTCTGTCTCATCATGTTCTGTTCAGAGGAGGCCGTCCCCTCATTTCGCTGGCAAGCTGTTCTGGGTCTTTGTTCAGTAGCCTTGAAAGCATTTCCAGGGCAGTCGTAGCCCTTTCGTTCGTTGTAGGGATTGATTGGCCTCAAGCACTGCTCCCCTCCCCCACCTGGGTCATTCCACCTGTCATCCTGGGTGGCATTGTGTGCTGTGTCTTTCTTGCAATGGCAACAAAATTTTATTGAAATCTCAGCTTGGAAACTGGGATGCAGATGTATATAGTCAGTATTTCAATGATTTGTAGCATCTTATCATTTAAATGTGTTGGGGCGATGCACCTGGTGGGCTCTGTTTGTTGAGCATTCAGCTTCGGTTCAGGTCATGATCTCACGGTTCATGGGTTCGAGCCCCTCGTTGGGCTCTGTGCTGACAGCTCAGAGCCTGGAGCCGGCTTCGGATTCTGTCTCCCTGTCTCTCTGCCCCTCCCTTCCTTGCACTCTCTCTCTGTCTCTCTTAAAAATAAAGACATTAAAAGAAATAAATATGTTAGGTGGCTGGAGGAGACCATAGCTGTTATTTCCCAAAGGAGCATGTCAATCAGGTTATTTTTTGAGAGGTTTGTTTTAAAAAGAGAACGTGTTTTACTGTTTGCTGGGGGCAGGGGGCAAGGGGTGGTGAAAGGAATAGAACTACTCACTTTTTCTAAAGTCAGCACTGCTCGGGAAGTTCAGACTTTTCACACGAGAGAGCTGGTTAAGGTGGAAAACGTAGTTCAATGCCGGCTGTACTGCCTGCACGCGAAAAGTGTCAGGTTGAAGTTAGTGCTCGCCACGTGACGATTCCCGGATGGCATCTTCGGCGAGAACGGAGACTGTTTCAAACTAGAAGAAGGTGTTCGCATTTGGGGGTCCCTCTTGAGACTAATAAAAGTACACGTGATGTTCGTAAGCAGCAGTGGAGGGTTTTCCTGATGTGTTGTTGTGCGTCCTTGTAGGGATGACTAGTGGTCCCTGGAGAACTTACGGATTCTGCCTTCTTTGACCAAATCTTATGCAATTTCTGGTTGCTCTATTTTTATAGTGATCCATTCAATAAACTACATTCGTTGTTCAGTGAGAGGTTTGTGTTGGGCATTGTTCTAGACCTTAAGGCTAGAGAAGTGAACAGAACAGACAAAAGCCATGTGGCTCACGTGGAAGTGTGACGTGGGCCAGGCCAGGCAGGGTTGGAGTTGTAGGCAGGATGTCTCAGCGGACAGAGGTACGTTTTCACCAAGACCCGAACGCGGTGTAGAAGGAAGGGCAGGGCCTAGTGTGGGGGGGTTGCCGCAGCTGGCGTGAGAGGTCAGGAGCTGAAGGCAGACAGATTGGGTCCAGGCACAGACCTGGGGTGTGTATTCTAGGTGGGGTGGTGGCTCTTTGGGAGGTTTGGAGTGGAGGGTACCGTGACAGGATGTGTGCTCTGCACACTCACTCTGGCTGTTCTGTCCAGGACACGCCGCTCCTACCAAGGGGGCCAAGGATGGAGGTTGGGAGGCCAGTTAGGAGGCTCCGGTTAGGAGGCTGTTGCAGGCAGCCCCGTGGGCGGCCGTGGCACTTAGCTCAGTCGAATTCTGGATGTGTTGGAGGCTTGAAACAACAGGACGTGTGTAGATTGGAGGTGATGGGGTGGCAGGAGGCGTCGAGAGGAAGGAGGTGAAGATGGCGCTGAGGTGTAAAGCCTGAGCTGAGGAACCACTGGGGAAGACAAGACCTCGGGCGTCTTGCTTGGTGGGGAAGCTGTTGGGAGTTTGGTTTTGTACTTGTTAACTGCTGTTAGACGTCTGTGTCGTGATGTTCGGAAGACTTGGGTCCCCGGCTTGGAGCTGAGGCGTGGGCCGGACTAGAGGTTCAAGTGTGTGGGATGCTGCTTTGGAGGAGTCGCTGGAGGGTCTGTAGAGAAGGAAAGAGAAGGGGCCGGCGAGGGGTGCCCAGGGCTGTTGGTCGGGCTGTAGGGGTCCAGAAGGTGGCAGGCCGGCTACAGGCCGGTTGTGCTCTCCCCCGAGCCCCCAGCCCTGGCTTCAGGGAACTGGTGGGTACCAATGGTTAGATAGCTGAGCGCCCGGCCCTGGAGGATGGGGCCCGCGCGCCTTGTGCTCACAGGTCTTGGCGCTGAGTCTGGCACGTGGCTGGTAATCAAAGCGCAGAACTTGAATCTGTGATACCGTCCCCATTTCTGTGCTGTGAGAACTTCAGTTTGGAGAGTTTGTTGCGTAAAACTAGACTGTTAATATTAGGTGGAAACAGCGAGAGAGGGAGACACAGAATCTGAAGCTTGAACTCATGAACCATGAAATTGTGACCTGAGCCGAAGTCAGACACTTCACCAACTTGGCCACCCAGGTGCTCCTTAAGTGTAAGTATTTTTAAAGGAGGGGAGAACTTTCTTTTGATTTTATTTATAAAGTGTGGTCTTTTAGAAGCTGTAGGTGTTCTGGGAAAATATCTTTGAAACGTGATGCTTTACAGTAAGGTCTAAAAAATCTAGTGGTGTGTTTTTTTGTGATTCTCCCTGGTTGAATTTCAGTGTGATTGGTACTAAGTGGAGAGAAATTGGCTACATTTGTTGAGCACGGTTCCGTATTTTTCTGTCAGATTAATAACATTAAATCAGAACTTTTTTTTTTTTTCTAATGGAATTATCATACTGTTAAAGGGCTTTCTGCTGCTTCTTCCGGATGTGATCAGGGAGGAAATGTGGAAAATCAAGTGCCTGGGACCCAGGTGACCAGCTGAAGGAAAGGGCCCCTTTCTCACGGTGAACGGCGCCTGTCAGCCTCGCTTGCCCCGCACGCCATCTTAGTGGGAGTTGCAGTCGCTTCCTGGGAGTCAGGGGACTGTCATTCCTGTCGGGATTTGACCCTTTCTAACGTGCGAGGCATGCGAACTGCTTCACGTAGGATTGATAATCACACGGGACAGTGACGCAGTTAAACAGAGGGCTAAGTAATCTGCGGTGGCCTCTCTGGGAGGGAAGAGGCTGCCCCCGGAGCCCCAGTGAGGCTGGCCAGTGTGCCCAGAGCCGATAGAGGGGTGGCTGCCTCCCGTTGGCCAGTTTGGGCAGTTGTTAGTGATTTGAGCTTAGTTTTAAAATAGAAAAGTACTGGTTTTTCCTTTGAACTGTTTTCTGAAGGGGAGTCCTGCAATGCTTTCTGTTCTGCAGAGTTGTTAGTACATATCTTCACTAAATGAATGCTGATGGTAGAAGTGTTTTGTGACGGGAAAGGAAGATTTAGTTCCATCTTTGAGATCGTGAGGCTTGAGATAACAGAGAGAAAGAGGAGGTGCTGAAAACCACGGCCGGGTGCTGCGCATGTTGCTGGGACCTCGTACTAGGCTGTGCCCCCACCCCGCTGGACAGAGCCAGTGGCTGTGTCCCACTCTGCAGTCAGGGGACCTGGGCTGTGTGTCCTGCAGCCAGCAGGTGGGCTTTCTGTCCCCCAAACCAAATCTCCCTACAAGTTAGAAAGTTGAACATCGGAAGTGCACCAATTTAGAAAAATGTTGTCTTTGTCCATTAGAGAGTAAGATCTGGAAGGCCAGGAGCTTGCTGGTCTGGTCTGGGCACTGGGGCCTGTGCAGAGGGGGCGTGATGTGCAGGTGCCAGGCCGTGGGGCCCGTTCTGTGTGTGGGGAGGGCTGGGTGGGTCCTGCCCTCGGGGGCAGGGGGGCGATCGGGCGGGGACGAGGTGGCTGCACAGGGAAGAGGGGTCCTTCGCTTACTCTCCTGGTCAGAACTGCCGCAGAACCACGGGGCTCGTGCTGTTCTCCCAGGGTGAGACGTCGCGAGTGTCGCAGCTGGCTGGCGTCTGTGAGGGGTCTGGGCCTTCGATGCTCTTTGGTGCTCCCACAGTCCGCGCTCCGGGCCAGCTTCCTGCTCTTGTGGCCTGGGGCTGCAGGTCAGTTACAGACCGTGAGGGCTTCTCGTTCCACGCTGTGGCTCGGCGACTCCCAGGGGACCCACGCGGAGCTGTGCTTCCTGTTGTGCGCCCCTGCCCCCTGCCGTGGTGCACAGCCTTTCGAGTTTCCTCCTTACGCCGTCCTTGGGAACACAACCGTCCCCATTTTACCAGTGAGAGAACCGAGGCACAGAAAGATCACTACCAAGTGAGGGTCAGCCTTCTGGCTCCACACGGTGGGGAGTGTGTTCCAGGAAGTATCCCCCAGGACCGGGAGGTGACCACGGCCCTGTCCAAGGATGCTGCGGTGCGCTGGGGACCGTGCGTCCGGAGGCGGGTGGGATGTGACACGCACCCCTCGGGGTGGTCAGCTGGAGGGGCAGTGGTGTGAGGGGTGTGGGGGGACAGGGGACCCGCGGGTGATGTGTGCCGTCCTCACTTCGAGGCCCCTGACGATCTGGCAAGAGCTGGAGTCGCTCCTAGTGGCTCATTCCCTTCCAGTGTCTGTCTCCTTGCTTGCTTTTGGCCGAGGTGGTAAAGGATCTGAGGCCACACAACCTGGGATTTTGTTGGCTGTGGTATGAAACTCGGTGACCGGTGCCAACTTAATGGAGCACCTCTTCCTCCTTTCCCTCTGAAGTTGGCGTGGTTGCCCGTAAAGTTTGCTAGTAAACCTAAGAAATATGCCTGCCTTGCGTTTAGCCGCTTCATTGATGAAAACCTCTCAACATCAGAGGGGCCCCAGCTTTGATACCGCGCAGTGGCCCTGTGACACGTGCCGCGCCCCTGACGCGGTGCTGGGTGGGGAGACGCCGCCCGGAGCACTCAGGCTCGTGATAGACCCCTTCGCCTGTACCTCACAGCCGTGGCCGTGGAAGGGCCTCGGCCATCAGAGCGGGGCGAGTGTGGTCTTGTGATGCTGTCACTTGAGATCGCACAGGTTGTTTCATCCTTTGTCCCTGAGACTCCCTGTGGGTTTGAGTGTGTGCCTTGGTTAAAGCCCAGGGGTCCCGACGCTAGAGAGGTAACAGGGACACTGCGGTGGTCGCGGCCCCGTGGGAAGCTGGAGCCTGAATCCATTCCAGTCGTGTGCGAGACAGGGAATCTTCTGTGACAGAAGGGGCTCGTGGGCTCGGGCCGTTCCTGACAGCAGAGAGGCTCGGTGGACGCTGTGGGAGCGTGAGCAAGGCACACACGTCAAGCAGGGTCCCTGCGTGTGTGGAAGCCCAGCGAGTGGCGGCTCCCAGTGCCTGCCGTCATGCTCTGGCACTCTGGGCAGCGAAGCTTGTTCTGGAAGCACAGGACTGCTCAGATGCTGTCTGCTTTCGGGTGAAAAGAAAAAAGGCAGAGCTGGGTCTGGGCTGACAGCCGCGGATTCTTCAGGTGGCGAACGCAGGCTCTTCTGCTGCTGTGGATTTCTTTGTTCACGGAGCCCCGCTTCCACTCCCCTGGGCCTGGGAATTAGCCGCACGTCCAGTTTCACCTTCTGGGTGTAGTAGAATCGCATACCTTTGAACCTGCAGTTCTGCGTCCTCGATCGTAATGACTCCAGCTGACCATGGAGCCCTCTGTCTGCCAGCTTCTGTGTGAGTGCCTCACAGTGGGGAGGGGGGTCACGGACACTTCGCAGACACGACGCAAGAACGTCTTATTCTCACACATACACACCCCATTTTATGGGTAAGGAAATTTCTACACCGGGAGGTCAAGGAGCCCAAAGAACTTAGAACCCATGAGTGCCTGAGCTAGGATGTGATCCCCCATTACCAGCGCTGTACCCCCAGCACCCCTGGGGGCTTGCACACAGCACGGACCGACATGCAGGGACGTCCAGGCGGGAAACCGGGTGTTTGAGTCACTTAGGGCATGGACATTCGTGCTGTGAGGCCGTGAGACGTCTGAGGAGCTCTGCGTCTCTGAGGAGGGACCGTGTCGGTGACCAGAACAGAGAGAGGAAATCACGGGTGTGGTGTAGTTCCGCTTGTGGATCTGCATGCAGACTTCTGGAAGGAGATTCGCTGCTGGGCATGAAAAACCAAATGGTTTTTTATAATACTTTTGTAGTCTTGGAGTTTTAAAAATTAATATGTCATCGTTACCAAAAGGTGAGGGTATTGTCAGAAAATAAATTCAGATGTGGGAGAAACAACTAGGTTTTGGGAAGCTATGGGCCAAAGGGACGAGTGACAGGCACCACCGGGGCCCGGGAGCCAGCACGTGAGAGCTGTGTGCCTGGGGCCCGTGAGGGGCAGCCGAAGGGCGGGGGCCAGGACACCCGTGCACCTGGCCTCACAGGCGTCTGTCTGCTCCGCCGGCCCTGCAGGCTGTGTGGCAGACTTTCCTCAGTCGGGTTCCAGGGGCAGAGAGGGACCCGGGCCTCTCCAGTTTCTTAATTGAAGCGACAGAATAAAATGGTGCCCAGGTCCTGCTAGTGCCACACACAGCGACCTTAGGAGGTGGGAGCGGCGGCCTGTTCGTGGAGCGTCACGGGTGGGGGCAGCTGCAGAGGCCTCGGGGGTCTGGCTGTTTCTGGACTCCGTGTCCCGCCCTCCACAGCTGGCTGGCGTTGTCCCCTGAAGCGCCTGCTCCTAGGGGACATTTATCCCAGCATCTGTTCAGTCTGAGGCCCCCGTGTGCACTGGGGTGCGAGGGTTACTTTTGTCCTGGAGGTTTAAGTTTAAAACAGGTACTTACTGGGGCACCTGATTCTTGATTTCGGCTCCAGTCTTGGTCTCAGGGGTCGTGGGACCAAGCCCGGGGTTGGGCTCCACACTGAGTGTGTAGCCTGCTTGGGACTCTCCCCATCTCTCTCCCTTGCTTACATGCGCGCTTTCTCTCTCTCAAAAAAAAAAAAAAAAAAATTAATGAAAGAAAGACTCTTAAAGAAGTGTTGGGGCGCCTGGGGGGCTCAGTCGGTTGAACATCCGACTTTGGCTCAGGTCATGATCTCACGGTTCGTGGGTTCGAGCCCCGCGTTGGGCTCTGTGCTGACAGCTCGGAGCCTGGAGCTGCTTCAGATTCTGTCTCCCTCTCTCTCTGACCCTCCCCCCCACTCTTCCTCTGTTTCTCTCTAATTCTCTTTTATTAAAAAAAAAAAAAAGAAAGAAAGAAAAGAAAGAAGTGTTAAGTTCTTCCCCACCCTGGCCTGGCCCAGGGGTCCTCACCAGGTGTCTGCTGGAAGGCAGGACTGGGGTGGGGGACAGCGGTTGTCGCAACCCGCTGAGATGCAGAATCCCACCTAGCTCTTACTACAGAGATGCTGGAGATGATCTCTGTTACCGTCCTATGAAATTATAAAAATGGGATCACTGTGTGTTTGGTTTCAATAGCTACTCTGACCTACGACACTCTTCGATTTGCCGAATTTGAAGATTTCCCGGAGACCTCAGAGCCTGTGTGGATACTGGGTAGAAAATACAGCATTTCCACAGGTATTGGCCGCAGTGAGGCCTGCTGTGCCCACGGGGCTCAGTCTACAAAAGCGTTTTGTGGTAATAATAGTTATCTTCTAACTTTCTGGAACATGTGACCTACCAAGTTAAGGTTATGCGTGTTTTTTTCTTTTAAATAATCCCTAGAAAAGGATGAGATCTTGTCCGACGTGGCGTCCAGACTTTGGTTTACGTACAGGAAAAACTTCCCGGCTATTGGTGAGTATCCGCATGGACAACACATGACGATCCAGGCGTGCTCTCTGAGGAGGGAGCTTGACAGTCGACTCCACACGCCAGATGTTTGTCTCTTCGTTGTACTTGTCATGGCAGCCTGCACTGCGCAGGTGGCCGAGGGCCTGCCCTGGTGTGGCAGCGTTGGGCCAGACCCGGGACTCCTGACTCTTCTGCGGGCAGGGAAGTCGTGGCTCCTCCTGGGACCTAAAATCAGGAATCTGAGTCACAACCGGCAGCTAGACATATGGAACAGAATGGAACACGAGTGGTGTGTCACCAGCGCACCGCGTGTCGCTCCTTGGAGGCTCCCGGTCGTGCGTGTGGGTGTTGTCCGGGCCGTGGTGGCACCAGAGGCTTCCTGCTGCGGGGCCCGCGGCTTTGGAAGCCGTTGCCCTGTGTTGGCACTTTTTTTTTTTTTTTGAAGCTTATTTTGAGAGAGAGCAGGATCCAGGGAGGGGCAGAGAGGGAGAGGGGGAGAGAGAGAATCCCAAGCAGGTTCCACACTGTCAGCGCAGAGCCCAACACTGGGCTCAGTTCCACGAACCGTGACCTCGTGACCTGAGCCGAAGTCAGATGCCTCCACACCTTTTCCGATGTGCCCCACACTTCGCTGTGGGAGGGCCGAGGGCTGGCACTCGTCCACACGTGTGTGCGTACATACACTAGCGTACGTCCCACTGAAAGTGACCCTTCGCTGTTGGGACCCTGGAGGCGGACAGAGCATGGGCACCAGCGCTTGCCCTGGCCTTTGCCATTCAGAGAACCCAAGGCCAGAGGTTAGGCACCAGGAGGCCACAGCTCCCTGATGGCTGGTCCCAGGCCCTTCACCCAGACGTGGTTTCCTGTGTCCCTGGAGTGGGGTGCGTGTGGCAGAGCGGTCGTGCCGGTCGGCGAGGAGCGCTGAGGTGTGGGGAGACGAGGCCTGTGCCACCACACGCCACTGTCTAATGGTGGGACCTGTCTACTGCGCCCTGGGGCGGGGGCGCCCGGCGGTGCTGGCAGGACCCCGCTGTCCTGCGAGTCTGCGGTCTGGACACAGGACGGGCTGAGAGGAGCCATGTGTGGTTTGGTGAAGTCATCCGGGAGGAGGCGGCCTGCCTGTACGGGCCACGGTGGTCTCTTTCCTGCCGTGGCCACGTGGAGAGGACTAGTTTGTGTGGGAGCACTGTGCTCTAAGAGCCCCTGAGGCTCTGAGGTGACCTGGCCGGGGGGAGGGTGCCACCCTGGCATCTCTGCTTCTCCAGGGCCCCTCGGGCAGGGCGTGCAGGCGTCCCCTGTCACGCTAGGGCCCGGCCCAGAGGGTGTGCAGAGCTGCGCTGCCTGGCGGCCACACCCTCGATGCCCTGGGGCGGCCAGGGGGCGGCTGGGGGGCGGGCCTGCTCCCAGGGCGCAGGGTTGTCGCCGCTGACCCCCTGGTCCTGGCCCTGCCCCCACTCCTGGCACCTGCGTCCCTGCCCTTCTGGGGCTTGGAAAACGGCTCCTGATTCGATTTCAAGTTTCCTAGATTACTCGTGAGGCTTTGTGTCTTTTCTTATGTTTTCCAGACGCTCTTAATTCTCCATAACTGACTTGTTCACGTAGTTTGGCCATTTTGAGGGATCGGCTGGATGTGTCACTGCCCAGTAAATGTGCCCTTGGCACAACCAGGCTCTAAATAGCCTGTCATCTGGGACGGAACTGAGGTGGCGTCCCGGCCTCCTGCCAGTGGCCTCCTGGCCCACTGGGCTGTCTGACAGTGAGGCCTGTCTGTCTGTCTGCCCTGCCAGGGGGAACCGGCCCCACCTCGGACACGGGCTGGGGCTGCATGCTGCGGTGTGGACAGATGATCTTTGCCCAGGCCCTGGTGTGCCGGCATTTAGGCCGAGGTGAGTCCTGGCGTGGGGAGGCAGTGTTTTCGGCACTGAGGGCTGAGGTCACCCACAGCAAGTCACTGGTGGGGCAGAGACCGGCTTGTCTTGAGTCGTGACCCCCTGGGTTTTATCACCTTAAAAAAGTGATTGTGAAGAATACCGATGAGGGTTTGTCTTTCCAAAACTCTCTTTACATCACTAAACTCATGTTTTGTCTGCTGCGTAGATTCACTTTGATGGGTTAGCATATACATATTTGGAATCCTGGAGAATTTGTTAACGTCAGAGAGGTTCAGGGAGGGGTATCTCCTGTAGCTTGAGTGTTCTAGAAGTGTAAAGGCTTCCTTCTCCTTTGGGTAACGCTGACCCTCTGTGTGTCTCTGATAGATTGGCGGTGGACACAGCGGAAGAGGCAGCCGGACAGCTACTTCAGTGTGCTCAACGCGTTCATCGACAGAAAGGACAGTTACTACTCCATTCACCAGATAGGTGGGAGATGGCAGACGCGCCGGTCCCGGCCGCGCAGAGCAGGCCGAGTCACGGGGTTCCCCTGAGAGCTGCCCTGCCATGGGGTGTGCAAGGCGCGAGGCTGAAGGCCGCTCAGCTCGTGACCGGCGGGGGCTGTGAAAGCCGGAGCCCGCCATCTGGAGGGCGCGTCCCGCTCTGCGCCCTTTGCGAGGTCCGAGTGCTCCTTGTGTTGATTGGTGTTCTCACGTGGGGCATAGCTCGGAGTGACCTGTCCCTCCCGCTTCTGACCGCAGGGCTGGGGTTCTGGCTCATAGTGAAGGACGGGCCTTGACGCGGCCACCGCCCCTCTCGGAGGAAGCCTCCTGCTGTGTGGCGGGAGGCCCTCCTGGGGGCTGGGGTGGGACTTCTGTGGAGCATTCCTACCGCCCCTTTCGGGTTGAGGGCCGGGAGGGTCATGGTTCCCGTCACTAACGCCGTCTTTTTCCCTTTCCTGCAGCACAAATGGGAGTTGGTGAGGGCAAGTCAATCGGCCAGTGGTACGGGCCCAACACGGTCGCCCAGGTGCTCAAGTACGTGCCAAGCTCTGTCCCTCCTGCATCCCTGGGGGTGGCATCGCACTCTCCTGAGTCTTGGTTGCTGAAGATTGTGGAGAGTCTCTTCCCCTCACGGCCCTCCTGAGGGTCCTCACAGGCAACCACACCAAGTGGTCTTCTGTGTGGAATTTCTGTTTCCCGATAACGAACATCTTCGCCTGGACGGTGTGTGTAGGATGGGGCCTGTGTGTGTCATGTGGACCTGTCCTCTGGTGCTTCCTGAGGGTCTGGAAGGTTGACGCTGGTCTGGAGTGACTGACAGCTGCATGGAGTGGCTGCTGTGGGACTCTGCCTCTGTGCCAACCCACGTCCTCCTTCCTGGGGCTCCGTGTCTGCACCTGCTGCTTTTCCTCCATGTCCTGACTCGTGCGCCTGCCCCGACTGCCTGCCCCCTCAGGCTCTCCCCAGGCCGCTCTCTCAGCGGGTCTGAACCGGTCCTTGTCCCTCGGCCCCCAGCCCACTCCTCCGCCCGGCTGCCCTGGTGGCGTTCTCTGGGTTATTCCAGGGTGCTGCCTTCTCTCACACATCTACCTCCTGGTTGAGCACCAAGCCCGCTCACCATCCATGTCCTTATCCAGCCCCTCATTTACTCAGCGCCCCCCGCATGCCATCAAGGGCCCTGGGCCCACCCCTGCCTGCCCCGGAAGCCTAGTCTGTGGGGACCGTCTGTCTCCCTGTGTGGTGTGTGCTTGTGGTCGGTCCATGTAGCTGGTGTGTGGCCTGTTTGTGCGGCCAATGTGTGTGGTTTGCATGTTGCTCTGCCTGCGTGGTCCGTGCACAGGCTGTTTCCGTGGTCTGCATTGTCATCCGTGTGCAGAGCTCGTCTGCATGGCCTGCGGTGCCCGTGGCCTGTGTGTGTGGTGTGCATGGTTTTCATGTGTCCTCTCTGTGGCTCGTGTGTGTGGTCTCCTAGTCTACACGGGTGGTTTCCGCGTGTTCATGTGTGTGCGCGTGTTGGTACGCAGGGTCTGCCTGCGTGCTCCGCGCGGGGCTCGCCCTGTCTCAGCCGCCCCCTCACTCGTCCCCGCTGCTGCTCTGAAGCAGCTCCTTCGAGACTGTTATTGGTCTAGTCGTCACATCTGAAGGCCAAGTTTGGGTCCCCCATTTACTCCGCTGCCCAGCAGGTAGCCCTCAACACAGGTGTCCTCTCTCAGAAACTCTGCGCCGCACGGCCATGCTCTCTGGTCCCTGTCGATGCCTCCGTTGCAGCCTCTTTGCCCCACCTGGGAGCACCGCAGGGCTGGCCTGGCCCCTTGGCTGTTTCTTCTCTGTCAGCACCGGCCTTAGCTGCTGTGCACACATGAGGCTCCCACAGCCACACGCCCCGCCTCCAGACCCAGGGCCACACGCTTTGCCAGCATCACCCCTTAGGTGTCCGAGGGGCAGGTCAGCCTAACGGCCAGAACCCAAAGCCAACTCCACTCCCCGTCCCCAGCCTGTTCCCCTGCAGGGAATGGCAGTGCCATCCTTCCAGAACTCTGACCAACAGCTGGGATGCTGCCAGACCCAGCAGGCCCCGCCCGGAGTGTCCAGACTCTAGTCAGCGGCCACTGCATCCCTGGCCTCACCCTGGCCCAAGCCCTGTCGTTTGCTGCCTCCTCGGTCTTCCTTTTCTCTTTGGCATCTTTGAGTCACTTTTGAAACAGCAGGTGTCCCCTTCATAAAGTGCAGGTTGAGTGCCCGTCCCTTCTCTGCTTGGGACCGTCCCGGGGCGTCCCCGCTGGGTGCAGGCGGGGCCACTGTCTCCTCTGCCCACCCTGTGCTCACCCCCAGGCACTGGGCACCTGCCCGGGAGTGCTCCCGCCACTTCTCTGTGCTTCTCCACGGCGCCTGCTGCCCACACGCCTCTTCTCTGGAACTTTAGCCTCATGAGGGGCTGCTCTGTCTCTTGTGCATCTGTGCATCCTGGCCCTCGGCAGGCCTGAGAGGGGGACAGCCAGCGGCGTGCCGCACACGATCCCCTGGCCTCCCATCGGGAGCGCCTCTGTGTGGCCGCCCCGTGCCCTCCACACGCTCCCCGGACACACCAGGTCCTCCCTCTCATGGGCAGCCCCTCCTCATCACCAGCACCGGGGGAGCTCGCCTGCCACCCTGACACACCTTTGGTTGCCCTCGGGGTGACTTCAGAATCTTGAGTCTTTGGCCTTAGTTCTTTTCCACTGCCGTCCGCAGCTGTGAAACCAGATGTCTCTGGGAAAATCTGAAATGCTGGCCGGTCCAGCACTTTCAGAGCCGCATGTGAAGGTGCAGGGGGAGTGGGGTGCTGGGCCCACCCGGGTTGGCACAACCCCTGCTCCCTCTCTGTCCACAAATGGGGTGCAGTAATGGAGGGCGCACCGGGCCCAGGCGGGGACATTCAGGCCGCAGCCTCGGCCTTACTCCCGCCCGAGGCGCTGAGTCTGGGCTGTGGTGTCTCTCCTCCGCAGAAGCTGCTGGAGCCTTCGATGCTCCTTGCCTCACCGGGCCGCACAAGTGAAATGGCTTTGACTTGTGAAGGCTTACTGTTGTATCCTCCCCCTTTCTGTTAGGAAACTTGCCGTCTTCGACACGTGGAGCGCCTTGGCAGTCCACATAGCCATGGACAACACGGTGGTGATGGAGGACATCAGTAAGTGAGCAGGAGCACGGGGGTGTGGCCGGCGGGACTCGGGGAGCAGCTCCCTGGCCTGCTGAGCGGCCTCCAGCGGCCCACAGGTCGGTGCCCTACACTCAGGCCCGGGGACCCCCAGTTCTCTTCCAGCGCACACCAGGCTCGGGGAAGGGCCTGGATTCTCTGTGGATCCGGGTCCCTTAGTGTCCCGTGGTGTTTGTGTCCTCGTTGCAAATGGCGCGTTCAGGTGTGTGCCGGCTCGGCCCCCCGCGGGCACCGGTGCGTCACGAGGAAAGGCATAGTTCTTTTCCTCCCTCTGGAAGGATCCATGGGAAACCTGGAGGAGTCCAGGCATGCTGAAGTTTCAGTCCAGGAGGAAGACGATGGCTCGGTCTGGCAGTGAGCTGTGAATTTGGAGCTTGAGTCCTTTTGTGTGACCAAGCTGACAGAACTCTTTTGAACGTCTTAGTTTTTTTCCTCAGGAGCACCTTTTCCCCACCGTTTCCCAGACCTCCCTCCCTCCAGTTTTGTCGAAGGTCCTTACGGAAGAAAGAGCCCTGTGAGCCAGCCGCTCTGTGGGAGGGGCCCCCCGCCATGAGTGCGCGTGGGCCACGGCACCGTTGCTCCTCGCCGCTGACCAGCCCTTCCCCTCTTCAGCCGGGGGACAGTGTCGGGCCTCCGGCAGACCGCGGTGCTCTGCCCGGCCAGCCCTCCCTGCCCACCACCCCTGGCCCCTTCGGGCCGGCCGACCGGGCCCCTGGCAGAAGGATGGGTATCTTTTTCCTCTGCCTTCTCCTCATGTTCTATTTTTAGGAGTGTTTGTGACACGTTGGGAACTATGGAAACATGCAGAGAATGAGGGAAACAGCACTTGATCTTCTCACTGGGAAATGGTTCCTGTTGACGTGTAGACAGAGTCCCTTCCCATGTGTGTGTTGTTTTTGAGAGCAGTTCTTACAGGGCTCTTCTATCAGTGAGACGTTACAGGCGTTGGGTGTCTGCTCACTTCCCAGTATACGTCAGGGTTTTTTGCCTCCCATTGTTGGGGGCACCGCTTGTCTCAGTGTCCACCCAGTCACCCGCCCAGCCTGCCCTCAGACGAGCAAGGCTGGCTCCCCCGTGCAGTGTCAGGAAGGGCCGAGGGACTGCTGCCCTCCAGAGCCTCCATTCCTTGGTGGTGGGGATGCTGGCTGGCGCCTGGAGGGGACTCCGCCGTGTGCCTGGACACTGGCGCCTGGCTCTCGGGGTCTCAGGTTGCTCTTGGCAGTGCTGCCGGGGCTTATTTGAGGACGACCAGGGTCTGTTCTGGGGAGGGTTCCCGGGGGTGGCCGCCTGGCTGTGATCAGTGCCCTGTGCTCCTCCCCTCCTAAGTCAGAAGCGCTGTACGCTCGTCAAGGGGCTGACTTAGGAAGAGCAACGTCAGAACCCCAGCAGCAAGGACACAGGCTGAGGGAGTGCAGTGATGGCAGGTGTACTGGGAGTAGATGAAGGTGCTTCCTGCTTCCGAATGGCTGTGCTAATTGCTTTTTGTTAGAGGAACCCCAGGGGAGGCCCCGAGGGCAGCAGCAAAGGCCTTCAAGCAGCCTCTTTGTAGTCACCCAGATTGCAGGTCTCGGAGGGAAGGCTCTGATTCAGCAAAACAAACGGAGACCCAGTAGTGGCCAAGCAAGGGCTGTCCTAGTAGTCAGAGCCGCTTGTGGAGTGGTCATGGCCAGGGCCCCCACACTGTGGAGTGGTCATGGTCGAGGGCCCCCCCAGCGTGGAGTGGTCATGGCCGGGAGTACCCTCAGAGCCCCTCCCCGGGGAAGGCGCTGGCTTCCCCTCTTTCCTCCACTTCAGACGAAGTGTGCTGTGCGAGGGGAGGCCTTGCTGGTTGGGATGTTCCCGCCCTCTGCCCACCCTCCTTGGGGGGCTGGCCAGGACACCCAGAGCAGCCTCTGCCCCTACCAGCACTTGCCGTCGATGGGTTTAGACCTTCGTGAGCACAGCAGATGGCGAAGTCGCTGGATCTGGGGAGGAATTACAAATTAAAAAAGCCAGTCTGGTGTCACGCACAAATGAAGGCAAAGCAAATACGAGAACACTGGAGGAAGTGTGTGGAGGCCAACGCCCTGACGGCAGAAATAAAGCAAAGCAGCGGTGACTGCGGTTGGGATTTCAGGAGGCAAGGACAGTGGCCGTGAGGGAACGGGAGGGAAACCGCCTTGCGCCAGCTGTTGTCTGTAGAACCGAAGACCTCCGGCTTTTTAACCAAGTTCTTCAGATGTGCCTGCTCCTGGAGGCTCTCCTAAGCTGCAGAGATAAGGAGACGCTTCTGTAAGCACGCAGATGCAGACGAGGATGATGATCTGTCTCTGAAGAAAGGTGATCCCGCTGGCCTGGCTGTCCCCCTTCCTGCCACAGCAGGTGCTGGCGGGGATGGGTCAGCACTCTGGGGCGGCGGCTGGGCTCGCTGGGGGCACAGGCAGTAGTCCTCTGTGGTCACTGAGAGAACACAGGGAGCTTGTACGTGGTCAGGATATCAGGGCAGCATGAGAGTGCCCTGTGGGCGTGGTGCACGTGGAACCCGTTGTTTGTTGGCAGCAGGACGTTTGCGAGGTCACAGGCCACACGCAGCTTTGCTGAGTCCCCAGAGTGCAGCAGTGATGGGCCCTAGACCCATCTACTCTTGAGCCGATCCACGCGAGGGTCCGTGCTCATGGTGAAGACGCAGCGAGCCGGGAGAGTGTCCCAGAGCAGCCTCAGAGTCCGGGCAGCAACCCTGCTGTCAGCAGACCAGGTGACAGATCGAACATATGGAAGAAGAGTCTGGAGCACCCAGATCCCACAGTAAGAGAGTTTAGCAGATACACGTTAAACTCTGGTTCTGGCTGCAGAACGCACTTTCTCTAAAGTGCCCGTTTGTATAAAGTAATGTAGACTAAATAGAGGAAAACACAAAACTCTGCTACCTGGAAATTTCAAACCTGCCTTAGCTTTTTGGGTCAAAAGAAGTGAAGTTTACAGACTCTGTATCAGAATCTAATGTGTACTAAATTCAAGAAGAACCTGTATATTCAGTACCAGTTACCAGAAAGCAAAAAGTGAAAATACAGGAAGGGAGCACACAGCTCAAGGAGTTAGGAAAAGAACAACAAAATTAGCTGAAGAAATCTGGGGAGAGTGGTATTAATAAAGACTAATAATTAACGATTTAAAACGACATTGTAGAACTAGTCAATTCTGCATCTGGCTTTTTTTTTTTTTTAATTTTTTTTTTCAGTGTTTTATTTATTTCTAGGAGAGAGAGACAGTGTGAGCAGGGGAGGGTCAGAGAGAGAGGGAGACACAGAATCTGAAACAGGCTCCAGGCTCTGAGCTGGCAGTCAGCACAGAGCCCGACGTGGGGCTCGAACCCACAAACCGCGAGATCGTGACCTAAGCGAAAGTCGGACGTTTAGCCAGCTAAGCCACCCAGGGGTCCCTGTAGCTGGCTTTTGTGAAACAGCAGTAACACATCACCAGGGACCTCATCAAGAGAAAATGGGAGGGGGCGTGTGGATGGCTCAATTTTGTTGTGACCTGACTCAAGGTTGTGATCTCAAGGTTCATGAGTTCCAGCCCCGTTGAACTCATTGCTATCAGCGCAGAGCCCGCCAGTTCCTTCGTCCTCTTTTCCCCTCCCCCACTTGCAGTATCTCAGAAATAAACCTTAAAAAAAAAAATGGGAAAAGTCCAGAAATCTGTTTTAGAAATTAGAAGGTAGGATTCCGATACCAGTTTTGATATGTGGGCTCACTCCCCCCACAGCAAGCCGTTCTGCGACACCAGCTGGGTGTGCTACTTTGCAACCCAGTTGTACATTGTGCTGAGGCAGCGTCAGAATCCGCAGGCTGAGGGCTTGGTCCCACAAGACAGTGCCCCCCACCCCCACCTCAGACCCCGGTGCTAAGTCCAGGTTGTGGCCTGTGCTTCTGAGCTGTAGGCGGGAGGCTCTGCCCACTGCTTCTTTGGGTTCTACTAATTTGCTGGAGCGTCTCACGAAGCTCATTTGCTAGACCCCAGTGTATTGTAGGGACACAGCTCAGGAACAGCTGGGTGGAAGGGGCATGCGGCTTCTGTGCCCTCTCTGGGAACACCACTCCCTGAACCTTCACGTGCTCACCCACCCCCGAAGCTCTCCAGACCTGGTCCTTTTGGGTTTCTACGCAGGCTCTGTTACTCAGTCATGGTTGATTGAATCGATTCAGCCCCAGCGCCTCTCCCCAGAGGTCGGGTGAGACTGAAGTTCCAGCCCGTCGTAGAAGCTTTGGGGAAGTCACCTCATTCATACAACGAAAGACACCTGTATGGCTCTTTGGAATTTGAAGGGTTTTAGGAGCTCTGTGCTAGAAATAGGAAAAACAGATAATATGTTTCTTACAGTAAATCACAATAAAAAAAGATTACCCAGAGATGAAAAGAAAGTTGAATCCTTCTGTTGTCCATTCTTTCACTTTCCAACTATGTATTTTTAAAAAAATGTTTATTTATTTTGAGAGGGAGCATGAGTACTTGCAGGAGAGGGGCAGAGAGAGGGATGGACAGAGTCCCAAGCAGGCTCCATGCTCAGTGCAGAGCCCCTGGGATGACCTGAGCCAAAGTCAAGAGTTGGACGTTTAACTGACTAAGCCACCCAGGCGCACCAACTATGTGTTTTGAGAAATTCCAACCCTGTGTTCGTTCAGCCACTAACCTCCCTCCTGTGTCCCCAGTCGGGGATACTGGGGTGTGCCCACTTTCCTGCTGCTCCGCAGCCCTGGCCAGTGGTCTGGGGGCCTTGCAGTCTCCTCTGATCTGATGGTTTGCCCTCTTGGTTTATTTTTCTGGTTTTTCATAGCACTGACCTCTTGAAGGAGCCAGGCCGGTTTGGTCCAAGGCCCCACACTTGGTGTATTTGCCTCCTCCCACTTACCTGGCCAGTCCCCGGTGCCATCCCCAGAGTGCGCCCCAGCGAGGTGCTGCCCACCGGCGGTGCCTCCTCGGGGCAGCCGTTTGGCCACGTCTCTGCTTTTGCGACCACCAAGGAGCCCAGGGTGATGCTGAGTATGCGTTGGGGACTTTGCCTGCAATGTGGCTTCCTCAGCTGTCCTTCCCTCCACGTTTCCTGGCTGGCTCGCTGGCTGGCCTTCTCAAGAAGAGCCTTCTCTGCCCTCCTCCTCCTCCTCATTTAGATTTTAAAACTTTGTGAGTCACTGGACTCGTGGATTCTCTTTCTTCAGTGGGTTACGCGTTATATGTTATGGCCCTTACTGTTCCAAATACGGCCAGAGGGCACCCCTTCAGGCTTGTGCTGGCTTCTGCTGTGTTCTGCCATTTTTGTTGTTCGGCCTTCCATGTTGGATGTTAACTAGATTCAGGTACACCTTGTGCCCTCTCTGCCCCAGGCCTGGGGTCATTGGTTTACCCGAGGAGCCCTGGTTCTGCATAGTGGGAAAGGTGCTCAGAAACCATAGACCAGGTGCCGGCTGTGCTGGGGCTGTTGGAGCGTCCCTGTCCGCATCGCCAGCCCCCTTTTCAGCATGTCAGTTAAGGATCACCAGCAGGTGTAGACAGCAGCCTTCCTGAGGGAGGGAACAGCTGCCCCTCGCATGGCCGTGCACGTGTTTGCACGGTTTCACGAGGCGCTTTACTTCACGGTAACAGTTATGATTTGGACGTGCATGGAAAGCGTGTGATTCTGTTTTTTCTCTGTGGGTGACAGGATTAATCTTTGACTATATTTTCCAAGTTTAAATTGTGTTTCAGCACTTGGCTTTTTATACCCTTTTCCTGTGACTGGTCGATTGCGAGCTTGTTCTCAGTGAACATCTGTCCGCCCCTGCTCAGCCCCTGACAGCTCGTCTCTGTCTTTCAGGAAGGTTGTGCAGGGCTGGTCTTCCGTGTGCAGGGGCCGCCGCGCTGCCCGCCGACCCCAGCCGGCACTGTAACGGCTTCCCTGCTGCAGCCGAGGTCAGCGCTAGGCCGTGGAGACCCCTGGTGCTCCTCATCCCCCTGCGCCTGGGGCTCACGGACATCAACGAGGCCTACGTGGAGACACTGAAGGTGGGTCTGTGCCGGTGTCTTCTCGCCCAGTGGCAGGGGCTTGAGATACCGCTTGTTGCTAAAACCCCGCTGTTGTGGCCATGCTGGCACCCTGTGGCCTCCTAGCCTCGCCCTGGGCAGTCCTGACCGCCTTTCCACTGGCCCCTGCTCCCCCAGCCCTCAGCCTCGGGGTGTGCCCCCCCACCCTCCACAATGCCTGTGTGCCCTGTGTGCGGGCCGCTCTGAGCCCAGTCCATACCTCCTCCCGGCGCCCGGTCCCCCTTCTGCAGACCCACCGCCTACATGGAGCCTCCCCGGACACGATTGCAGATTCCTTCGTGGCTAAGCTCTGTGGGACCACGTCTTCCTGCTCTCCTTCCCGTGTCTCCCCGGTGGGCCTGGGGCTGGCAGGGAATGGGGTCTGCCCCCCGGAGCACACAGGCTGGCTGTTGGGTGGCTGGTGCCGCCCTACCTCGTGCTCAGCCCCCTCCTCCCCCCTCCGTGTCCCACAGCACTGCTTCATGATGCCCCAGTCCCTGGGGGTGATTGGAGGGAAGCCCAACAGTGCCCACTACTTCATCGGCTACGTAGGTGAGTGGTGGGTGTGCGGGGCGCTCGAGTGGCTGCAGGGCAGCCGGAGTGGCCTTAGGGCGTTGGCTTGACCCAAGGCGTCCAGTTCCAGCGGGTGGTCTGCGTCCCCTCTTGGCCATTGCCGGCCTCCGTGTGCCCTCTTCTGCCCAGTAGTCCAGCTTCCCCCCCGCCCGCCCGCTGCCTGCCGGCTCTCGCGGCCTGTGTCGTCCAGCCAGGCGGGTCTTGGCCAGCGGGTCTGCAATGGGACCCCGGCTGCTGCCTGCCTGCTGACGCCTTGTCCTCTGGTGCAGGCGAGGAGCTCATCTACCTGGACCCGCACACGACGCAGCCCGCGGTGGAGCTTGCCGACGGCTGCTTCATCCCAGACGAGAGCTTCCACTGCCAGCACCCGCCCAGCAGGATGGGCGTCAGGGAGCTCGACCCGTCCATTGCTGTGGTGCGCCCCCCACCCCCCTGGTCACGTGCGCTGGCCTGCTGGGCCATCCTGTGCTCAGTCCTGCTGCTTCGGAATGAAAGTTTCAGAAAAGCTTCAGATTCTTGTGGGTTTTTTTTTCCCCCAACGTGTTGGACTAGGTATTCCGTTCCCGTGGTTTAGAATGCAGCGGGCACAGAAGGGTTAACAGTGTCCGTGAGCAACTTACACCCGCCAGAGGCTGTGGCCCTGCGTGGCCCTGTGTGGCCCTCACAGCCTCAGTGTGGGCCCCGTAACACAGCGGTGGCCTGCCCAGCTCACTGCCCCGCACCACCTCCGTGGGCCTTTGGGTTTGACTTTTAAGTTTTTTTTACTTCTGTGCCTGTGCAGTCGTTCTTAAGAATGAGTGTCCTTCTCTCTTGATTCCAAAGCTGAGATCTGGGATGTGACTTATGTAACTTGCGTGCTCTCAAAATGTACTTGATGGGGAAGGAGGCCGGAAACCCCTGGGAGTAATGATGTCCCTTGAGGACTGATTGAGTCACAGATGAGGCACATCGGTCCTGAAACGGACATCTGGATATGGGCTCTGTGGGTCTTGCGTCGTGCCTTGAGGTTGGTGGCCCCACGGAGGGTGCCTGAGGGTGGCAGGACGTGGCTGGCACGTGGAGGGTTGAATTCCCATCCAGCTAGCGCCAAGTATGCTGTTGCACGAAGTGCATCTCGGCTGACTGCGGCCCGTACACGAGCAACCTGGACAGCCAGTGCCGCGGACGCCACGTCCTCGCTTGATAGGGAGGGTGCCGCATGTGGGCGACGCAGGAGAAGTGGTTTCCCCACAGGATGCCGCCCCTGCTCCCGTGCTTGTGGTGAACGAACCTGTAATTCTGGCGGTGCCTGGAGCTCCTGGGAACTTGTCGCCAGGGGCGGAGGCCTGTGCGCGTGGCTGCAACCGCGCGCGTCCTCACGGACTGGGCCCCGGGGCTCCCCGCCTTGCGGTGCCGCTGGGTGAGAGGCCCGCTTATGCCACTCACAGTGGGTCCTGGTGGCTTTTGCCGCCAGCCACGCCATTAAAATGCGCGTGACCTCTGCAGCTGGTCTTTTGCGGCGGGGCCTCCAGAGAAGGGTGGACACTGCTTCGGGGTCCACACCACGTCTGGGGGCCCTGCTCGTGCGCCTTGCTATGCGCTGCTCACTGTGGTTTCTGTTCCAGGGGTTTTTCTGTCAGACTGAGGATGACTTTAATGACTGGTGCCAGCACGTCAGAAAGGTGGGTAGCGTCCCCCGCCTGTGGGGCAAGGGGAAGGCCGCCTCCGGTGTGGGGTCCCACCTCCCTTGGCACCTGTGCCAATGTCCTCGCATGGTCATGGCCTGTGGCATCGGCTTCGTGTGGGGAGCAGCCTGGGTTTCTGGCTCATCGCTGTCGTGCGGTTGAGGGGAGGCGGGACCTGGAATTTGCCCCCAAGGCTGCTTGTAAGCCTCACGCTTGCGGTCAGAGCCCTGGTGACACACAGATGCCTAAGGGACGGCACGGCCTGCCTTAGCAGAGGGTCGAGAGCCTCTCGGACAGGGGCCACTGCCCCTTCCTTGTCCCCAGTTCCCTCTGCTTGGTGAGCAGGGGGCGCTAGGGCCCTATCCCGAGGGCCGTGTCTGACGGCCGTGTCTCCTGACAGCTGTCGCTGCTTGGAGGCGCCCTGCCCATGTTTGAGCTGGTGGACCAGCAGCCTTCCCACCTGGCCTGCCCCGATGTCCTGAACCTGTCCTTAGGTGAGTCTGGGGGCCACAGGGCCACGTCTCAGGTGTGGGCGTGCCGCGGTCGGTGCGACGTTCTGTCCCCATCTCTCTGCTTCCCCAGGTCTTGCTCCAGTTGCTTCTGACCTTTAAGATTTGTAGGACCCCAGATGTGACCCCTTGGTGGTGTGTGTGTGGGACCAGGGGTCGCCCAACAGCCCGTCCTCTGTCCCAAGTGGGCCTTACAGTCCGCTGCCCTGTCCCTCCCCTCACGCGGCCCCCTGGGTTCCGTCAGGTCACCGAGACGGCCTGGAGCCAGTTCTGGGGCGGCAGGCTGCACGTGGACCCTGTTTCCTGCTGCTCACGGGCTCCTGGCCCGGGCTGCCGCCCTCAGCCGGGCCCTCAGCTCCTCCGAGGGGAATCCGCTGCTGCCGTACGGGAACCCGGGCCTCCACGGGAAGGCCTTGAGCGCATCCCGTTCACGAAGCCGTCTGTGTCCGTGACGATGACGGGTCCGCGTCCTTGTCCTTCCACGAAGATCCTGGAGGCTGGTGACCGAGTCCACTGTCTGACAGAATCCAGAAGGGGGTGCTGCCCCTCTCGGGACCGGAAGCCCTGCCCACCCAGGCCCCGCCCCCTCTGCACGGTGCTGGGTGCTGTCTCCCGCAAGCTGAGCCTCCGGGACTCTGGTGCCTGCCTTCCCCTGGGGGGACCTCGGGCCTGCTGAGCCCCGCAGTGTCCTGGTGTCCTCTGGGCCCGGCCGCACCAGGGTGTGGTGGGCCGTGCGCACCCTGGCACTGGTCGCTTCGTCCCCACGCCCCGGAGGTCCCACGCCAGGCATCTGATGAGCTGTTGTCTCGTTTTCTCCTAGATTCTTCTGATGTAGAGCGACTGGAAAGATTCTTTGACTCAGAAGATGAAGACTTTGAAATCCTGTCTCTCTGAAAATCCCAGAGTTGGGGGACGGTTTCCACTGCCCTTCACTGGGGACACCTTCGAGAGCCCAGACCTGCCCTGGCGCGCTTGGCGCCGCTGCATTTCACCCACCCAGCCTGCTCGTCCACTGAGCACCCGTGCTCCACGCCGCCTCTGCCCTCGCACGGAGCCTCCCCGACCCCCCATGAGCCCTGTGCGGCTCGGGCCCTGAGGGCTCGTCCAGGCGACAAGGCACCAGCCCGGAGCCACCGAGGGAAGCCCAGCGCGGCCAGGCAGGGGGCCCCCCCGAGAGCAGGGCCCTTCACATCCGCGAGCGCTCTCCCCGCCACACTGCCGGCCCCGCGCTAGCACGTCGCCTCTGCCTTGCTTCCTCCTGGGCGCTCGGTTCTGGGTTTGCTTTGGAATTAAAGTCCTATTTGAAGTTGCAAGGACGCGAATTTCTGTCCTGTCCGCCTCGGAAGACCCGCAGGGCGGGTGTGTGCGGCGGGACACCCATGGACCCGGCCTCGGCCCCCACCTGCTCTGCGGCCTCTGCCCGCCCCTCCCCCCCCCCGCCCCGTGCTTTCTCAAGGGCTACCTCAGGGGGAGACCCAGCCGGAAGAGGCACGGCAAGGCTTCTCCTGGATTTGGGGAGAGAAGTAGCTAAGTGGTGGGGCGTGGTAGAAATCCAAAGACGTCACCGTGCACGTGACTCGCAAGGACAGGGACACGCCTGGCCCGAGTGCGGCGCACGTTCCCCACATCTCCTCTGTGGGTCCTGGCATCGAAGACGCTCCGTGTGCTGCTGCTTGCTCTTTGCCAGCTTCCCCTGGGTCGGGTCTCGGTCTGGTGTGGGGAGGGGCTGCCCTGGGGCCCCAGGCCCTCCCTCCGGCTCCCAGTCCTAATCGTCCTTCTCGGCGCTGCCTCCTAGCTGGTTTGGGGCCAGAGGGTAAAACCTACGGCGTGATGCGCGAGGCCGGCCCCGGGCACCAGTTGGAGACGTTTCCAGACCCTTCTCAGCACTAACGTCAGCACCTGCAGCCTTGAGCCCCTGTGTTCTGGGCCCAGGTGGCCCGGCCCCGCCTGGGCTTGCCATCTGCCCTCCTGCCAGGACGGGTCCACAGGGCCGTGTGTCCCCGCCTGTGTCCTGCGCCCCGTCCAGGAGTAGAGCTGGGGTTGCCGGGGAGCCCGGCCACACCCCTCTGGACCACATGTGCGCTGCCGCAGGCTTGGGGTTCAGGGAGCTGGCGCAGCCCTGCTGTTGGTACGAGCCAGGGGGCGCGGGGGGCGGCCTGACCCACCGGGAGCTTTGTTTCGTGTGTTTTGAAAAAGGCTTACTGAAGAGAATGTTGTTCAATCCTCGTAGCGTAGTTTGCAATTCTTAATGGCAAATAATAACCGTTTCAATAGAAAACATTTTGTTGTCTCTCCGTGCCTTGACTTCTCCTGCAGTTCTAGGTGGATGTGATGAGTGGTCCCTGGGTTCCTGGTGCCACAGGAAGATTCCGGGGTGTGGCTCTGGTAGCTGGTGGGCGTGGGCGGCTTTTGTCCCCAGACTGGCACGCCTGGAGCCGGTCCCACTTCCACGCAGCCTGTGGGCGGTGATGCTGCCCTTGGCCTCCTGGTCCCCAGAGAGATGCAGGGGACTTGATTTTAGGACACATGGCAGCTCTCCTTTGAGGAGGGGCTGTAGTGTCCCGGCGTGCTGTTAGCTTTGATTTTTTTTTTTTTAATGTTTATTTTTGAGAGAGAGAGAGTGTGAGCAGGGGAAAGCGGGCTCCATGTGGTCCTCAGAGCCTGATACAGGGCTTGAACTCACAAACCGTGAGATCATGACCTGAGTCGGAGTCGGACGCTCAACCCACTGAGCCCCCCAGGCGCCCCAGCCTTGGTTTGATTTCTGAAAGCGTCCCGCCAGCTGGGCTGAGACCAGTGGCCTCGTCCAGTCACCTCAGCGTGAGTCACACAGCACCGCCATCTGCCCTCGGCCGCAGCTGCCAGGGGACAAAGGCAGACCAGCTCCCCAGGTGGGGCGGTCCAGAAGCCTGCACCTTGGTCACTGTGAGCCCCCCGCCCCCCCGCCGAGGGCCTGCACCGTGGCCTCTGGGAGCCCCCCAGGGGCCTGTCAGGAGCCGCAGGAAGGCATCTGCAAGGCTGCTTCTGGCTGGAGGCCTGGGCCAGTGTTGGCCATTCTCCCCTCTCCCAGAAGCCAGGCGCGGCCTCTGACCCTCCTGCTGCCGCCTGCACCCCTGACCAGGACTCCCGCCTCCCCACGAGGGACCCTGTGACCGCTGTCATGGGCCTTCCCGGACATGCTGGGACAGTCTCGTCTCCAGTACCCTTACCGTGTGGGTGCCCTGTTCTCAGCTTCCGGGACAAGGCGGGGGGAGGGCGGGGGGACTGTCACCACCTACCCAGTGCCCAAGAGGCCGGGAGACACCGGAAGCCACTGGACACGGGGTGCTCTGGACCGTGTACCCCCCGCTGCTGCCACCTGGCCAGATGTCTGAAGACACAGGCTGTTATTTCCTGGAGAAAGTTGGAGCTGGCAAGACCAGTTCCGCCTCCACTCCAGTCCTGTTCTTCTTGAGCTCCTGTCCACCTCCGACCCCATGGCCTGGTGCCCGCCCGCCCCGCGCCCCCACCCCCCCTCCCCCAGGCTGACCTGTTGGCTGCTCTGGGCACAGCCTCCACCTACCACCCACTCCGCCCTGCCCAACAGCCCCCACCTCACTGGGTGCCAGCCTGGCCTGCTGCACCGCAACGGGAGGCAGATGGGATGCTGGTTTGGGGGCTTCTTAAGTTTACTGGTATTTATCTTGAGAGAAAGTGTGCACGTGCAAGCAAGCTGGGGAGGGGCAGAGAGAGAGAGAGAGAGAGAGACAGAGAATCCCAAGCAGCCTCCACACTGTCAGCCCAGAGCTCAGCACGGGGCTCCTTCTCACCAACTGTGGCCAAAACCAAGAGTCGGATGCCCAACGGACTGAGCCACCAGCGGCCCTGGGTCTTTAGAAACCCAGCCGAGTGTTTTCATCGCAGGCACGAGGCTTCAGTTCTGTGAAAGCACAGCAGCTAACGATGGTGCTGCCAGGCTACCCCTGGGGGGCAGTGGGGACCCCGACACCCCAGTCCGTCCCTGTGCGTGGTTCCCGATAGCTCCTGTTGCCCATTGGTGGGTCCTTGAGTTCTGACCTCGAGGGCGCTGTGCGGTCAGAGTGGCCAGAACCAGCCCCTTCGGATGGACAGACGCTCGAGGCCACGCCATGCGGTCCACAGGGCGCTTGCAAGCACAGCCACAGGACTACATCTCCAGGACTGTCCCTTGTGACCTCAGAGCTGCATAGCCACCAGCCACACTCCCGTCACTTCCTTCGTCCCCGCTGAGGTGCCCTGAGGACCAGGACACGGGGCCAGGCTGCCTGGGCGCGTCCTGCGCCCCCTGCCCAGTGACCACACACACGAGCCCCGACAAGCCCGGACGCTGCCCAGCCCGGGCAAGCGTGGGCCTGGGCGCTGCCGCCCTCCTGGCCACGCACACGTTCTGCCCAGGCCCCACAAACCGTTTTCGTCGCCTCTTATGAGGCAGTGGTGACCGAGCTACCGCGCCTCGGCTGCAGTCCCTCTGGATGGGGCCCCCGGCTGGCACCGCTCCCGCGGCCCAGATCTCCGTGCGGCCAGACCACTCACGGCAGCTTACGACAGGCCGACACACAGGTGCTCAGGGATGTCACGGCGGGAACCCCGGAGGCCTGGCAGGGGGCTGGCCGGCCCGCTAGGACGGCCTCTCCCTCCCACCCCCGTTGCTAAGGAGAGAACTGCTCCACGGGACGTCTGCAAAGTCGTTTTTATTCCTATAAAAGATTGAGGAGTTGCAGCTGACTGCCATCTTAGTGAAACTGCTCGGACGCGGGCATCAAGCTCCATCAGACACGCTGCTCGCCGGGTGCTCGGAGTCCCTGGCGCCCTGCCGCCTCACAAGGGGCTGGCCCGTGGCTGTCGGTGCCCAGTCCGCGTGTGCACACGTGGTCGGGATGTCCACCTCCCCGGCGGCTCTGCCCTGAGGGGCTGCCACTGAGGGGTGCTGCGCGTCTACTTCCACAGCTCCCCGAGCGGCTTCTGCGCCACGGCCCGGAGGGTGTCCACGGAGAGGGCGTGGATCTCCTTGTGGACATCTTCGATGCTTCTGGAGGCGTCGACGATCTGTTCCCGCAGGGGAGGCAGGAAGAGAGACGGTTAATACTTCCTGTGGTCCTCACTGCGAGGGGTGGCTCCCGCCGGGGCCTGGCTCTGCGAGGGTGCAGTGCACCGCTGCTGGGGCCCTGCAGCCTCCCCTGACCTCAGCCAGGGAAGGTGGGCCTGGCTTGCGTCCCGGGGACTGAGGCATCCCGCAGTCCCGCCGTGGCCTCCCAGCTCCACCCCGACCGGTCCACTCAGAGCGCGCAGAGCAGGCCAGCAGAACAGGGCCCACCCTGCCAAGCCCCTGCCCAGACGCTGCCCGGCACTCAGGCAAGTCCTGCACTGAAGCCAAGCCTGGGAAGACAGCTTCGTGCTGACAGAGCCAGGCTCCTGAGAGCACACACCTGCTCGCGTGTGCAGCAATTCTGTGAGGTCTGATCGCAGGAGTCCGAATGGCGTCCTCCCCAGCCTAAGACCCCACTGGTGACACCCTCCTGAAGGCCTTCTGGAATGCTCTCTGAACCCTGCGTGCCAGGTATGAGCTTGCACACGGGCATACCACACACACACACACACACACACACACACAGGTATAAACTCGCACACAGTGTACCACACACACATTAACTCACACATGGGTGTACCTCACATACACGTATAAACTCGCACACGGCCTATCACACAGAAACTTCAACGCCTCTAACCCTCTGAGGGCCTGGGAGCAGCCACAGCGCAGCACCACAAGCGCCTGGGTCCCTGAACGCAGATCTCAAACTTTCTCCACAAGAAGGAACCAGGGGAACCTGAGGAGGCCGCTGATTCTAGAGCCGGGCTGGAAAAGTACAGGATAAATCCAGAAAACATTAACGTGCTGGGGAGGAGGCAGTGTGACAGGAGCCACGGGGACGGGGTGGGGGTGGGGGTGGGGTGTCCCGCGGGCCAGACCTCGGTGGAACAGGCTGCCGGCGGGAAGACACGGGTCTGTAGACATGCGGGTGACCTGAAAATCTGACAAGCGATGACACTTTGCGGTGGTTTTGAAGAATCTCGTCACAAAATGCATGTTACAGACGGAGAGCCCCGTCACAGTGGAGCCTGGCAAGCGCCCCTGGAGAAGGTCACACGCACAGGGGACACCACTCGGCCACAGGGCAGAAGGAGCTCCTGTCACCTGCAGTGACATACGCGGGCCCAAGGGTGTCCCGCTGAGTGAAGTAAGTCAGAGACAGACAGATACCATGTGATTTCATGGGAACGTGGAATCTAAACAAGAAACGAACAAAAAGGTGGAAGAGACCCACAAATGCAGAGAACGCATGGGGCGGGGCGTGGACCGACGGGTGCAGGTCAGAGGGAGGACGGGGAGAATGGGCCACGGGGGCGGGGGAAGGCCCAGCGTGGCGACACAGCCCGCGGCGCGGCGGCCCAATCACGACGCCGTACACGCCTCAACGCTGTGTGTCAGCTGCACCTGAATACAAATCAATACCTGACAAAGCGAACAGCGCCAAGGCGGGACAGACCGAAACCCTACGCGCACCGGGGGGCGGGCAGCCCGCTCACGCCACCCTGCCAGGTGCAGGGGCAACAGGAAGGCCACCCGAGACTCAAGCCCGCAACTGCTGTGAAACTTCCAGAGGATCAGTGTTGAGAAGGTCGCAGGCTAAGACCGGCCACGTGACTGTACACTGGGTCATTTGTTACAGACGACGTGAGTGGGGCCGGGGGAACCCAAACGGGCCTAGGGCCCAACGGTGGTAGTCTCAAGTTGGACACTACACAGCTGGTCTGAGGGTGGGTGTTAGGTACAGACTGTTCTCGAATGGTCCTGGGGAAGAGATTTATGTGCTGTACTTGCAAGTTGTAACTTCTTTTCGTCATGTGCTTAAAAACTTTTAAAACAATGCTAAGAAAGTTAATTCTCAGATAAACAAAAACTGAGAATTCTATGCCAGGAGACCCACCCTACAGGGAACGTGCCAGAATGTTCTTAAGGCTAAAGGAAGCGACACAAGATGAAAACTCAGGAGGTCAGAATGGACACGGGCACCTGCGTTGGGTGGCAGGACATGGTTTCCTCTCCACACACACTCCTGACTGCAGACCTTTCTGTCTTGTTCCTTACAGGCTTTGAAAAGTATTCTAAATTCAGAATAACTTGAACCACGTGGAGCTGACTAACAAAAGAAAAACAAAAATGGAATAGAACTGGGGCGCCTGGGTGGCTCAGTCAGTTAAGCGTCCGGCTTCGGCTCAGGTCATGATCTCACGGTTCGTGGGTTCGAGCCCCGCGTCGGGCTCTGTGCTGACAGCTCGAAGCCTGGAGCTGCTTCAGATTCTGTGTCTCCCTCTCTCTCTGACCCTCCCCTGCTCACGCTGCCTCTCTCTCTCTCTCAGAAATAAATAAAACATTAAGAAAAAAATGGAACAGAACCTTGGAATTTCTGCATATGACTGAGAGCCGACACCCTGAGACCTCCCACAGAGCAGCAGGGATGCAGCCCAGCTCAGAAGCGGGACTTGTCAACAGTTGTGAAAACCAACATTCTCATTCCCAGGGCAGCCTCTGACCGCACAGTGACAAGGGTGGGCCCAGGCGATGGGTGAGCGCAGGGGGTGGTGGGGAAGGGGCCGCCGCGGCGTCCACGGTAGGGGGAAGTGGGGCTGGCCGCTGGGACTGGGCCAGGCGCCTTGGAGCAGTGTGCTGAGGCGGAGGGAGCAGGGCTGAGGGGCACTGAGCACAGTGAGGCGGCAGAGTCTGACGGGGGCCGAGCTGCAGGGGTGTGAGCCTGAGGGGGAGGCCCAGGTGTGGGGGTCAGTTTGGAGACAGGACACCTCCACAAGGAAAGGAAGAAAGGCCCCTCCCGGGGCTAGAACTGCCGGGACAGGGCTGGGAGGGAGGGAGGGAGCAAAGGACCCCCAGGTGCGGAGACAGAACAGACTGAGGGCTGAGCCCAAACCAGCCGCGCAGGGCTTGCAGGAGACTTCAGGCGGAGCACAGAGCCCCCAGGCCAGAATGCTGCTCAGAGGTTACGAGGGGAAGGCGGGGGCGCCTGAGTGGCTCAGTCAGTCGTGGGTCTGACATTTGGTTTCGGCTCAGGTCATGATCTCACGGTTCATGGGATCAAGTCTCACGATGGGGCTCTGCACGGACAGTGAGGAGCCTGCTTGGGATTCTGTCTCCCTCTTCTCTCTGTCCCTCCCTTGCTTGTGCTTTCCTTCAAAATAAATAATCTTAGGGGCGCCTGGGTGGCTTAGTTGGTTAAGCGTCCGACTTTCGCTTAGGTCATGATCTCGCGGTTCGTGGGTTCGGGCCCCGCGTTGGGCTCTGTGCTGACTGCCAGCTCAGAGCCTGGAGCCTGTTTCGGAGTCTGTGACTCCCTCTCTCTCTGACCCTCCCCTGCTCATGCTGTCTCTCTCTCTCTCCTAGAAATAAATAAAACATTTAAAAAACAAAAAACAAACAAACAAAGAAAACAAAATAAATAATCTTAGGGGCGCCTGGGTGGCTGAGTCGGTTAAGCGTCTGACTTTGGCCCAGGTCATGATCTCATGGTTCATGGGTTCGAGCCACGCATCGGCTCTGTGCTGACAGCTCGGAGCCTGGAGCCTGCTTCAGACTCTGTCTCCGTCTCCCTCTCAAGAATAAACCTTAAAAAAATATAAAACAAAACCACAAAACCCAAATTAAATAAACTTAAAAAATACAACAGAAGGCAAAGTAAGGTGGGACTCATGGGTGGCACGTTCCAGATGACAAGGGACTGCGGTCCGGGAGCTGCCATCTGGCAGACTCTCCCCGACTCGCCCACCAGGCACCAGATTCCCAAGCTGTGCGCCATCGCGGAGAACCGGGGGCCGCTGTGCAGAGAACCCTGGAGGCGCCCCAGGCCCTGGCGGGCGACTCCACTCGGCAGCAGGGGCCTTTGAGCCGCTTTCCGGCGGTGACACCAGGAGACACCCTCACCTTCCAGTTCAGAGTCTCATCCGCCAGCAGCTGATGGAAGCAATGCAGCGCCCGCTCCTGGAACTTTCCGTTCTCATAGCGCTCGCGGCCAAACTCTCCCCGGGTGGCGGCCTCTGCCAGCCGTAACTGAAGGAACACCACCAGGTCCGGCTTCGGGAGGCCCACGTCTGGCTGCTTGCACCAGTCCAGGGAAAAATTCTGGCAACAGAGAAAACAACAGAGAAAGAAGCTTAATGGGGTCTAATTTTTGGTTTTTAAAATTCATAACAAAGGGGGAAAAACGAGCTAATGTTTGTCTGAGATAGCAGAGACCTCACTGCAAGAACGGCCCTTAAATGGGTTCTGATTCAAGCTACGTGTGAAAGCACAGGACCAATCAGCGGCTGACAGAATGGGGAACCATGTCCGAGTCTGAACGAGGGCGCCAGGAAAGGGCGCCCGTCTTTTCTGAGGTGTGATTCTGTTTGTGAGCAGTCGCTTTGGGATGTGAACTGAAACGCTCATGAGGGAGCGGGAGACGTGGCCGCTGGGTGACGCGCCCGGTGGCCCAGGTCCGAGGCCAGCGGGTTCTGAGGCCGCTGACAGTGCTGGTGGCTGCCGTCCGCTCCGCTGGTGCGCGTGTGAACATTTCTAAAAGCAGAACGAACGGGCAGCGTGGTCACTGCCGTTCTCCCTGCAGAGCGACAGGCATGCGGCACGGGGGGGGGGGGGGGGGGGGGGGGGGGGGGCAGGAAAAGAAACAGAGAAGCACCCAGATACCCGCCATCTGTCTGAAAACAAGGTGCTGGTGGGGGTGGGGAGGATGCCGGCCAGTAATGCAGACAACACCCGCGTGCTCTTCCCACCGGCAAAGAGCCAGTGAACCCAGCGGAGAGAAGGACCCTAAGAGCCCGAGAAGTGTTTTTGCGAATACCCGGAGTCCATCCCTGCCATCACCACATGGGGGGCCAGGCGACACTCACCTCCTTGGCACTGGTGAAGGCGACTCCAGAAAATGCGTATCTGTCGACAACGAGGGTGATACCTTGGCTCAACTTCTTCTTAATTAACGGCCTAAAAGACAGAGCGCTTCTGAGCCCTGGTCTCATGGGCCCAGAGAACGCAACTCACCAATTCAGAAACCCACGCAGGCCATGAAGGGATTACAGGGCAATGGTCTGTAACTGTACTTTTATTCAGAAAAGCTCTGGATCTTCTCTCCAGAAGGTGCCGCAGGAGTGCTGCCGGCAAAGCCCAACGTGGAAGAGACAAGTCCACAAAAGCGTCAGGACACAAGTGACGGATGAGCAGGGGAAGGCTCGGGGCAGTGTGGGCGGGGGTGCGGAGGGGCCAGGCCGCCCTGCTGGAAAGCAGCAGAGCCCAGGAGGGCGAGGACGAGGACAGACGGGTGGCCAAGGGGTCCTCAACCCAAGTGATGGTGGCCAGCTGCCACCCCCCTGCCCCGAGATCTCAGGTAGCCAGGCGCAGAGGGCCTGACACTAGCGGAAGTGTCAACTGCCCTGTGTGGAAAAAGCTTCCGTTACCTGTGAACTCGAGCAGCTCAAGCAGGGCAGGGAGGGAGGGGGCGCAGCGGCAGCAGGAAGGGGCGGCTCCATCGCAGCATCGCCCGGAACTGCACGTTGTTAAAGTGCCCTAATGGCACAGAAAAGTGGGGGATAAACCCAGCACGCGCACCGCAGAGACCGATGCAGCAGACGAGGGATGAGCCAGCCGTCTATCCGCTGACAGAAAGCCACTTCCTGGTGTCAGGAAAGCGGAGTCCCAGCCGGTACACACGGCTGGCTACCCTTTGTGTGATGACACACATGTATCTGCTGGTATACGAGAGAAAGTTCCAGAAGGCAACACTAGAAATGAACGGAATGCATCACCCACAGAGAGAGGGCAAAGTGGGTATATGGGGCAGGGACCTTGGCGTATGCCTTGGCCTTATAAAACCAATTAATCTTTTATGTATTCAATAACTAAAATTAAATCAACATGGAGAAAAAAACCCTAAAATCACATACAAAGTCAAACAAACTTGAGTCCCAAATGAACACACAGTGAAGAACAGGAAATCCTGCCCCCAGGGACCTGGAACACAGTACTCAATGAGTCCTTGTTCTTTTTCTTAATTAATTAATTTTTGAGAGAGAGCGCAAGAGCAGGAGAGGGAAAGAGAATCCCAAGCAGGCTCCATGCTGCCAGCACGGAGCCCAACACGGGGCTCGATCTTATGAACAGTTGAGTGCATGACCAGAGCCAACATCAAGTCAGGTGCTTAACGAAGTGAGCCACCCTGGTGCCCCCAAGTGCCCTTGTTCTGAGGACAGCACTGCAGACCGGCCTTGGCCTCTGTGTAGGCTTTTACAGCGGGGTATTCTGGTGATGCCGTGAGCCGGAAGACATGGTGCTGGATGCGAAGAGCAGGCATCAGTGTGAACTCGTGGGTTCTAGCATAAATACAGAGAGAGACACAGAAGCAGAGAAGCCTGTATGAGGTCCAACCATAGCAGGAATCTAGCAGCAGTGACGCTCACTAGCAGCGAGCGCCCAGCACCCGGATGTTAGTTTTGAGATCCGTCTCCACGAAATGGAAAAGAACAGCTGGTCCCTGGCTGGAGCAGGAGAAAGCCCAAGAGAAGACTGAACATCTGATTCTGCTAGAAAGTTCTCAGAGAATGAGGGCTTAGAACAGATCAAATGGACACAGGAGCCAATGTGAAGAGACTCCCAGAGGCCAAATTTGGAATCACCTAAACATCAAAATAATTAATAGTGTGACCCACTAAATAAATAAGAATTTGTGAGTCCGTACTGATGATGGACGGATGGATGACTGAGGGAGGAGACAGGAAAGCCTTACAGAGCAAGCCAACTAATAAACATAGAAGTGATGGAATTAGAAAAATCACCATCTGAAATCAGAACAGACCCAGGCAGGATTAGTAATGAATGCTCAAGTAGAAAATCAAAAGTTTGCTAAAAAGGGGGACATTTCTGCGGTTTTGTAGTATCTCCCCTATGGCCTACTTAGAACAGGAAAGAGTCTCTCTTGGTGGAAGGGCCTGGCCAGCACACCCCTCACAAGCAGTCCAGGGATGGACAGACTACACTGCGTCCCTCTTGGCTCGACGTCCTAAAGATGACCGACCCAGGGTCACTTCTACGCTTTTCTTGCCAAAAATACAAACCCAAATCTACTTGTGAGGGACCATCAGACAAACCCTAAATTTGTAAAATAAATGACCTGTAATATTTAAAAAGTAAGCAAATGATTAATGCAAATGTGGCAAAATATTACCAACAGGCGAAGCCTCGGAGGGGTGTACGGGAAATCTCGGTACTGTTCTTGCAACTCTTCCAGTTGGCTGAAGGTACTCTTAAAAACTTAAAAATAGGGGCACCTGGGTGGCTCCATCAGTTAAGCGTCCAACTTTGTCTCAGGTCATGACCTCATGGTTCGTGGGTTTGAGCCCCACGTCGGGCTCTGTGCTGACAGCTCGGAGCCTGGAGCCTGTTTCAGACTCCGTATCTCCCTCTCTCTCTGACCCTCCCCTGCTCACACTGTCTCTCTCTCTCTCTCAGAGATAAATAAAACATTAAAAAAAAACCTTAAAAATAGAGTATGAAATTGCTCAATTGCTACGGGAAGTAAAAGAAATCATTAATTTCCAGGAAAGAACTACATGGCATGGTATTTGAGAGGCTCCTGAAGGTTGGCGGGTGCCGGCAGGGACGGGGAAGGAAGTGGATGCTGTGAGGGGAGCAGCACACATTCTGCGGCCCCGAACTGTACAGAAGCCAGAAGACAAGTATCTCTGGGAAGCAGCGATTGATTTAATTCAATTAAGAAGAAGCAGAGCAAAAAGTGGACAATGAAAAGGCAGGAGGAAATAACCAGTCTCCTCACAAAGTGCTTCAAAACAACTCAGGTTTACAGGGCGCTCATTCCTGGGCCTGCCCGCCCAGCTTTACTGGATCCTCACCCGGATCTACACCAGGTGCCACCAGGGCCACCACACTGCAGAGGAAGTTGTGGCTGAGAGGGGCTGCATGGGAGCAAGGTCACACAGCTGGTAGGCAATGGTGCCAGATGTGAACCAGGCATCTGACCTGTCACCCAAGGACTTTCACATCTGACTGACCATATGGTAGCGGCTGGAATGATCCGAAGGAGCTGTGCTACACGCAGGCCTGTGTACCAGGGACAAGAGCACTAGGAAGTGGAGTCAGCATTATTTTTCATTTTTAAATGGCCTTATCTTATTTTTCTACAAAGCCACAAAAAGCAAAGCCAGACCAATTGTGTCCATAAATTCTACATGTATTAAAGAACATAACAAGGATCTCATTTTCTTCTAATATTTGGAGTGGGAAGACCTTTCCAAATAAGACACAGGTGAGCCAGAAGAAAGCAGTGTAGGCTTGCTTATGTGGCGGGGGACGGGGGCGGGGGGGGGCGATGCAGAGCCATCAACAGGCATCTGGCTACATCTCTGTGAACGGCCTTTTTGGAGAGCTCCCCAGAGCTGGGGGGAAGTCAGAGCTGCAGGCCAGAATTAGAAAGCAAGTTACGAGATGGTTTGTATGGGAGGGTCCCATTTATTTATGTCAGAAAACAACTCCAGTGACATAGGTGTACATAAATCGACACAAAAGCATCTAAAAGCACACACCACAGGCACTGGATAAGAGTTAGATGCTGAGGGAAGAGTAAGAGGAGGGAAAACAAAAAGGGCGGAAGAAGGTAAATTGTGAACTTCAGTTACCAACGTGTTAACATCAGTTCACCTACTGTAACACATGTCCACACACTGATTTAAGACCAATCATATGAGAAATGGAGGAAGGGGGGAGGGACGGGGTATGGGGAACCTCCGAACTTTTCACCAGCTTTTCTGTATACCTAAACCTACCCTAAAAAAATAAAGTCTATTGATAATAAACAAAAAGGTGGCAGGGCAGGGGAAGAAAAAGCATTAATTACTGCTCTTCAGGGACTATAGAGCTCTAAGACCTTGGGTCACAGAGGATGGGCCTGACACTTGTCAAAGTGTCCTTACTGGCATTACTGCCAACACCCTTCAGAATCAAGAGCTGCATCACACAGGCTCAAGGAGGAAGCACAGCACCAGGAAGGGGCAGCACAAAGGTAGTTTTTACACTTGCTCCCAGCGGTTCGCAGAGAAAAGCAGGTGCACTGAGTGATCTTCCACCTCGCTCTTCTTTTCCAAGTAAGAACTCAGAAGTTTGCCAATTTCAGTTGATCTTTCTAAAACAAAGAGAGAGAGAAACACAAAGTGAGGCCAGGCTCTCCACCTAAATTAGAACATAGCTGGTGCTGAACTTCTGGTCCCAGACTCGGGTGGAACCTCGTTTAATTGCACCACGCGTGTACACAGGTTCAGGCCTCCCGAAGCCAAAGGAAATTTCCTGAGAAAGGGCACACACGCTGGGATGAAAAATGCTTTAAGAAAAGGGAATGAGGGTACAAAGCAGTTATCTGAAAAGAAGTATTCATAAGATTCGCAGACTGCTTGGCTTAAAGATTCGATGGTATTCAAACAACCATTTTCCCGTTTCCCTGCCCGTTTTGTAAGCCGTACGGCGTTTCTGGATAACGTAAGCACTGATGATATTTTCATAAGCACTGCTGAGATCAATGTTTTACTTCACAAACTGAAAATATCCCATAATCCCCACCCCCACCCAGAGGGCAAACAGCATCCAGAACACCAAAAGCAGACACTGGGGTACGGACTACAAATCGGCCCCAGGACACTGCTGGGGGTGACAGATCGGGTCGTAATCTCGCGACACCAGTCTCCTACGTGTACGACCACGTCACGACCCCGCTTTAGAGAGGGCCTCCGGGTTGCACGTCCACTACAGACCCACGGAGCCGCGCAAACACCAGGACCGTGACCGCCAGACCGAGCAAGTGCGCGCACTGACCGCCCCGCGCGGCCCGCCGGCGCCACACCAACCTGGGAAGCGGAGCAGCTCGGCGCGGTGGCCGGAGGCGCACAGCGTGGCCACCAGCTTGCGGCTCTGCGTGCTCTTCCCCGCACGGTCCACGCCCTCCAGCACTATCAGGGCCCCGCGCCGGCCCGCCATCATGGCGCCTTCCCGCCACGCGCAGCGGTCTCGCGTCGCCACGCCTCTCGGAGCGCCCATTGGCGGGCGTTTGCGGCGTGCGCTGCGATTGGCTGAAAGGGGCGCGGTCGCAGTGCGCGCTGGGATTGGCTGAAAGGGGCGCGGTCGCAGTGTGCGCTGGGAAGAGCGGGTGGCCGCCGAGCGAGGTGGGTCTGGCTGAAATGTCTGCGTCAGCGGATCGCGCGAGGATGGGCTGAAATGGGAGCGCGTCAGCGGCGCGCTCTGGAATTGACTAGAGTGGGCCGTCTTCAGTGCCGCCCGCTGCGATTGGCTGCCGGCCCGGGGGCGGAGCGAAGGCACCTTGGTCTCACCGAGCTTTCTGGCCGGCTGCGAGTCTTCCGGACCCGCGCGGCTGCTGCTGCGGCCGAGGGCTGCGGGCCGGGCCGCGGGCGGACGGGCTTGCTGTCCCGGGGCAGCCGTGTCGTTCCGTGCCGCGGCAGTCGCGGGCAAGCGGTGGCGTTGTCGCTGTTCCTGAAGCCCGGTGCTGCGCTTCAGAAGACGACGCAGACGGGCTAACGCGGGAGGGGCGCGCGCAGCTGTTCCGCCGCCTTGTCTCCCACTCCTGCCGTGGGGGCGGCGGCCAGGGGGGAACTTGAGGGCGGAGAGGAGCGCCTGGCCTCTGGAAAGCGCCCGGCCCTGTGTGCTATTGTCATGTTAGGGACACCCGGGCCGCTTGGGGTGTTTCAGGTGAGACCGCTTCTGCGGAGTCCGCCGCCCCCGCCCGATGAGGGCGTAGTTCTGCTGTCGGGATCCCGCTCTCGCCACCTGCTCGCCTCCCGGGGCCCTGCCCCGGTGCCTCCACACTGTGGGCAGGACACACGCCTGGGGTAGGTGTCCCAGAATAGCCTCGTAACTGGATTAGAGTTTGCGGATTGGAGGCAGATGCAGCTAGAATTGCGGTGGACCTGAACTGCAGGGCTGTTTTCCAGCGAGCCTCCAGGAGCACAGGCTTCCCTGATGCACCCCAGGAGACCGCCGAGCCTTCCTCGCACCACCCGCGGCCTCGGCCGCGATTTCCCTGACCTTTCCCCCCAGGTCTCAGGGTTTGCACAAGCCCCTAATGCCGCTGTTATCCAAGACTCCTAGAGTAGCTTTATGTTTCCCCAATTGACCTTTGCCTGATTTGGTTCTCGGTTCTGGAAAGGGTGATAGATTGTATTATTATTCCAAATCGTTTGCCTGGTTCCTTGAGATCACCTTGGCCGTGTGACTTCCAACGCTGTTGTAATCAGCTGACAAACGCACTTTAAAGCTAGAACCTTTAAAAGCTAGTGTGTGGTTCGTCCATTCCCTCCCCCCCCCCCCCCCCCATGTAAGGAGAGTATCTGCAGGGTTACAGCTGTTTGTCCCGTGCTGGATCAGAATGTGGGCACGCAGCCACTGCAGCCCATGGCACAGCAGGAACTAAGACAGCGGGATTCCAGGCCCTGATCCTGGGATCCCTTGTTCCTGCAGCGCGGCCTAAGGAAAGCTCACTGGTTGATACAAAAGCTGGCCCTTAATGTCATAGGTAGGTTAGTAACCTCCCTTGGTTTGGTGTCTCCTGTTCTGGAATGTCCATCTCCTTGCCTTGGAAGGATGAAAGGATTAGAATGGGGATGAGAAGCTTTGCAGGGTCCGCAGGGCCCAGGGCAGCCTCAGGCCACACCTGCAGGATGAGCTCACCAGGCTGCCAGTGAGGACCCTGTGTGCAGCTTCGCATCTGGCGAATGCATGGCCTTCCTGGTTGCCCGTGGAAATGGAGGAGCCCAGCTACTGGGGTCTCATATGCTGGGTGGTGGTTGGAGGTGCCCTTTTGACTGCAGAAATGGCTAAACTGGCACAAGTACAGTGATGTTTGCTGTTAATGCACAGTGAGTGGTTTCGCATCTGTCTCTCCTGACATGTCCTGCCTCTCTAATACCAGGATGACTCTAACTTCCTATGCCACAATCCCAGCCTCACTGTGGCTTAAATCAGCAGGATAGTTCATGATCTCACATAACTCAAAGTCCAGGGTTAGGCAGCTGAGAACTGCTTCCTTTGCTTGGTGATGTTCAAGGTCAGGCCCACATTTTAGCAGTTCTACTTTTACCCCATGGTCACAGGGTGACTTCTGCCTCTTCCCACATCCAGTGCTGATCTGACGGCCCTGCCGTGGGCAGAGGAGAACCCTTGCCTCTGGACATCAGTCTCCTTTCTGCTCTGCTGCACTGAGTCAGGTCTTAGGCCTGATTTTCACCACGGTCTGCCCCGGAGCAGTGAGCCCGCTTCACAAGACCACGGAGGCCTTCTCAGGTGGGCACAAGATATCCACTTCATGGACGAAATTCTGGGCTTCCGGTTCTAAGCGCGCATGGAGACAGGTGAAATAAGATGGGTTGTAAGTGGAGAATTGGTGACCGTGGCTGATGGGCACATGGGGGCTTTTCAGGTCCTCTCTCCTCTTATGTGTTTGAGATTGTCCATTAAAAAACAAAGGACCTGGGCTGCCTAGCCGGCTCACAGTTAGTGGAGCATGCGAGGTTGTGAGTTCAAGCCGCACATTGGGTGTAAAAGTTACTTAAAAATAAAATCCTAAAAAAAATCATTAAAACCCATTTACTGTTCCTGTTTCTCAGGTGTGTTGTACCTTCCACTGCACAGGATTGTGTCAGACACTGGTGCTATGCGGCAGACTCTGTGTTAGCCCGGGTGCCGTACTGCAGCCCCAAAGAGCAGGAGGCTCAAATAGTGCCAGTCTTCCTACAGCACAGGTTTGGAGAGAGATCTCTGGTGTCTCTTCTTCCTCTTAATTGCTTCTCCAAATATAGTTGCACTGTGGGCTAGGATTAAACAAGTGTTGGGGGATATTCAGTCCATAGTACTCACCTACTTCCAGAAGACTATGCTGGGCACATCAGTCCCTTACTAGACTCCGTTTCCCAGCCCCACTTTCAGTTACAGGTGACTGCCAATTAAATGTGCGTAGAGGGGTGCCTGGGGGGCTCAATTGGTTAGCATCTGACTTTGGCCCAGGTCACGATCTCACAGTTCATGAGTGCCGTCAACACAGAGCCCCCTTGAGATCCTCGGTCCTGCTCTCTCTCTGCCCCCCCCCCCCCCCAAAAATAAACGTTTAAAAATAAATGTGAGGAGACATAGTGTGTGCTCTTTGAGACAGTGAACAGTGTTCTCCCTTCACCTGCTGCTCCCCCTCATTGCAAACCAGCCTTGATTGTGCTGATGGCGACAAAGCTCCCTGAGGGAGATACCATGCTTGGAGGAACCTGGCACCTGGATGACCCCAGGGAGCATGGCTGCCACATCCTGGACTCCACTTTGGGACTGTTACATAAGAAATAAAATTGTATCTTTTCCAAGCCACTGGATTTCTTTGTGGTTGAGTAGCTTACTCTTCCTCCAAATGTCCCCCAATTGTTTCTCAATTAGGGGACATTTTGGTTGTCACAACTTGGGAAAGTGCTAACTGTATCTAGTGAGTAGAAGTCAGGGACACTGTTAAGCGTCCTACAAGGCATAGGACAGCCCGCCCCCCACCCACCTCCACAGCAAAGAGTTCTCAGGCCCAAAATGTCCATAGTGCTGAGACTGAGGAACCCTGCTCTTAAGTACAGCATGGTAACAGACTATAAGGGAGCCATCTCTCTGAGAGTTTCTAGAACAGGGTCTCCCTCAGAGAATTCCTCAGTTTTCTTATGTGAGTGAATGAAGATAAATGACTATTTGGAAGAAGTTTTTTTTTTTAATGTGTGTGTGTGTGTGTGTGTGTTTTTAAATTTTTCTTGAGAGAGGGAGACAGTGTGAGCAGGGGAGGGGTAAAGAGAAAGGGAGCCAGAATCTGTAGCAGGCTCAGGCTCTGAGCTGTCAGCACAGAGCCCCACGTGGGACTTGAACTCATGAACTGCGAGATCATGACCTGAGCCGAAGTCTGACACTTACCAACTGAGCCACCCAGGTGCCCCTGAAGAAGCGCTTTTTTACTTTAAATTTTTATTATGTTTATTTATTTAGAGAGAGAGTGAGTAAGTGGCGGTGGGGAGGGGGCAGAGATAGAGGGAGACACAATCCAAAGCAGGCTCCAGGGTCTGAGCTATCAGCACAGAGTCAGACGTGGGTCTCAAACCCATAAGCCATGAGATCATGACCTGGGCTGAAGTTGGACACTTAACCAAGTGAGCCACCCAGGCGCCCCAAGAAGTTATCTTAATATCTGATACATAAAGGGCCATTACACTTTAATGATTTTTTTTTTTTAGATGAAGGCATGAAGATCAGCTTCCTCAGAGATGGTGGGTAAGGGGCATCAAATGATAGAATTACAAATAGCTGGTGGATGTGGAAAAATATGTTTAGCTGCACATAAAGAAATACAAATGAAAACACTGGTCGCTTTTTTGGATCTTTTTTTTCTATCATGTTAGTAAAGACAAAAGCCTGACGGGGGCGCCTGGGTGGCTCAGTTGGTTAAGCATCAGGCTTCAGCTCAGATCATGCTCAGCTCATGATCTCTCAGCTCCTGAGTTCAAGCCTCACATTGGGCTCTCTGCTGTCAGTGCCGAGCCTGCTTTGGATCCTCTCTGCCCCTCCCCAGCTTGCACATGCTCTCTCTCCCTCTCAATAAACAAACAAACAAACAAAAAAGGTCTGACAAAATTTAGGATTGACAAAAGTGTAGAAACGTACTTAGTGTCAGTTGGTATTATTTTTTCCTTGGGCCATTCATTTAGAAGTATCAGCACTTAGAACATTCAATAGCTCGGGGCACCTGGGTGGCTCAGTCAGTTAAGCGTCTGACTTTGGCTGAGTCATGATGTCACAGTTCATGGGTAACAGCCCTGCATCAGGCTCTGTGCTGACAGCTCAGAGCCTGGAGCCTGTTTCATATTATGTGTCTCCCTCTCTCTCTGACCTTCCCCTGCTCATGCTGTTTCTTTCAGAAATAAATAAAACATAAAAAAAACTTTTAAAAAAAGAACATGCAATATTTTTTGAGCTAGCAATTCCATTTCTAAGAATTTATCCTAAGGGGCTAATAGGACAGCGTGTAAGTTAGAGATGTCTGTGGCCCTTGCTACTCTTCCCAGTGACTGGTGGATCTAAGTCCCCTCCCCTTAAATCCGAGTTGATCCCCACGATTTGTTTGACCAATAAAATGTAGTGAGGTGTCTTGGGGCCACCGAGAGCATTCACAAGTACTGCAGCTTCTACTTGAGATCTCAGGAAGCCCGCGTGGCCATGTGCAAAGTACTGTCACGTCAGACAGCTATGCTGGAGAGGTCCCATGTAAGCGCCCTGGTCCATAATGCCAGTTGAATTCCACTTTCCAGCCAGCACCCCAGTGATCTCTGCAGTATCCCATGGAACAAAAGAATCACCTGCTGAGCCTTGCTCCAGTGTGTGACTCATAAAAATTATGAGTGATAAGTTCCTTTAAGCCATTGTTTTCAGGTACTTTAGTCACTGGAACACACAGATACGTACAGCAATATGAGTAAGTGCTCACCAGGGTGTTATTTATGGTGATGAAAAATTTAAAACAATCAAAATATTATTCATCTATTGTTAAGATGTGGTACACCAATGCAGTGAAATATATCTAGTCAACAGAATGAAGAATTGAGTAAAACATGGCCAGATGTTTGTGAAGAGTATTAAGTTAGAAATGTAAATAGTAGAAAAATGGATAGTATGATTCACCAATAAGAAAACCAACAGCCCAACTTTAAAAATGGGCAAAAGTTATGAACAGACACCTCACCAAAGAAGATATACAGATGGCAAATATACATGTGAAAAGGTGCTCAAAATCCTATGTCATTAGGGAACTGCAAATAAATGTCTCTGCACACCTGTTAGAATGGCAAAAATCTGGAAGACTATATGGGGCAACGAGAATGCTCTGTCATTCATTGCTGGTGGAAATGCAAAATGATATGGCCACCTTGGAAGACAGTTTAGTGGTTTCCTACCAATCTTACACTTCTTGTATTTAAAGAAGGGAATTGAAAACATGTCCACACAGCAACCTGTAAACAAGTGATTATACTAGCTTCATTCATAATTGCAAAAACTTGGAAGCAACCAAGATATTCTTCAATAGGTGAATGGGTTACGTATGGTACACCCAGACAATGAGATTTTACTCAGTATTAAGAAAAAACGAGCTATCAAACCACAAAAAAGCATGGAGGTGGGGCGCCTGGGTGGTTCTGTCAGTTAAGCGTCTGACTTCTGCTCTGGTCATGATTTCATGTTTTATGAGTTTGAGCTCCACATCGGGCTCTGTGATGACAGCTCAGAGCCTGGAGCCTGCTTCGGATTTTGTCTCCCTCTCTCTCTGCCCCTCCCTCACACTGTCTCTCTCTCAAAAATAAATAAACATTAAACAAAGCATGGATTAAACTTCAATGCATGTTGTTAAGTGAAAGAAGCCAATCTGAAAAGGCTACATACTGTGTGATTCCAACTATATGACATTTTGGAAAAGGGAAAACCATGCAGTTTAAGATCAGTGTTTGCTAGGGATTATGGGGAGTGGGGAGAGGGATGGAAAGGTGGAGCACAGGATTTTTAGGGCGGAGAAACAATTCTCTACAATATACACGACATTATACATTTGTCAAAACCTATGGAATGTGCAATCATCCAGAGTGAACCCTAATGTTAACTACGGACTTTATTTAATAATAATGTATCTGTATTATTTAATTTTGTTTTAAGTTTATTTTTGACAGAGACAGAGGCAGAGAGAGAGAGAGGCAGGATCTGAAGCGAGCTTTGCATTGACAGCACAGAATCCAACCCCTGGGCTTGAACTCAGGAACGAGAAGATTATGACCTGAGCTGAAGTCTGATACTTAACCGACTGAGCCACTCAGGCCCCCATTAGTTGTAATAGATGTACCACAGGAATACAAAATGTTTATAATGGGACTGTGCGTATATGCACGTGTGTGTGTGTTTAAGGGTAAAAGGTATATAGGAACTCTTTCTTCTATTTTCCTGTAAACTTAAAACTACTCTAAACGTCTATATAGTTTTTAAAAAGGGCTTTTAAAACAAAAAAGGTCAGTAGTATGCAATTATGTGCATTCTCTCATCAAGCACTGAAAGGGGACCAAAAAGGATGCACCCAATCTGCTAATATTCAGATTCAAAGGTGAACAAGGCAGAGATCTGTACCCTTAGGAGGTGGGGAAACTCGAAATTCCTGTACGGTTTGAATTATTTCCTCGAACATAACATGGAAATTCGTTGGTATTTGACATGTTTAGGGGAGAGTCACGAAGGGGGCTAAATGTTTATACGTGCACCCTGAATGTCGAGCTCCCCGGGTCGGGGAGTGCACCCTGGAACCTCCGGGGCCCAGGCCCCATCTCCCCGGCCGCCGACTAGGGCGCCCGCGTTCCACCTGCACGTGCGTCGCCCGCCGCCCAGCCCTACGCCGGGGGGACTCCGCGCGCGCTCGCCGGACCACGCCGGTCACACCCCGCCCGCACCTGCTTTGCGCCCGCGCGGCCGCCAGGGTGGGGGCGGGGACCCGGAGGTCCGCGGCCCCGCGGACAAGGTCAGGCGTCCAGAGTGTTTGGCGCCCCCGACCCCGCCTCCTGGCCGGGACCCCTGCGGCGCCGGGCGCTGAGACCAGACCCCGCTCTTGGGCGGCGCCGCGCGCAGCCTGCCGACCGGAAGCTAAGGGGCGTGCTCAGATGCCACCCCACCCCCGACCCGAAGGCCAATCAGCACTCGGGGCTCATTAATAGTGAACGCGCCGGCCCCGCCTCCGCCCCTCGCGGCACCGCCCGCCCGCGCAGACCTAGAGGGCGGCCGCGGACGAAGATGGCGACCGCCATGTACTTGGAGCACTATCTGGACAGTAAGCGTCCCTCGCGGCCCCCGAGCCCGGCGCCCGCACAGAGTACCCCCCCTCACGGTTCCCCACGGACACCAGGCTCTGCGTGCGGACCCCGAAGGCTCGTGGGGGCGGCGGGGGAGGTCTGGAGTCGGCGGGGCCGCGGGGACGCGCGCGGGGCGGGGCGGGGCCGCGAGGAGGTGCGCGCGGGGGGCGCGGCGCAGGGTCCCACCGTCACGGCCGCGCCAATTCCAGGTGCGTCACGGAGGGGCGGGACCGGCTGGCGCGGGGCGGGGCTTGCGTGCCACTGCCCCGCCCTTCCCGGCTAGGCCCCGCCCCTGGCCTCAGTGGCGTACCCGCCCTCCCGGCCTGGCCCCGCTCCGCCCTTCCCGACCCGCTCCGCTGACTCGGCCGCGCTCCAAGCCCAGGCCCCGCCCCCACCGCGCCGTGTGGCAGGTGGTCGAGCTGCTGTCCCCTAGGGTGCTGGACTGGGCCTGGGCTGGAGGTGGGGACTGGGGGACGGGGCCCCCGGCCGAGGTGCTGTGCCTGTTTGTGCAGTGATCTGGGAGTTGGGGGAGACGATACTGGCTGGAGTGTCCTCGTGTGCCTGCGTTTCTGCTTGGCCGGGGACGGGGTTGGGGGGAGGACTTGCAGGTGTTCAGGGCAGTGATCGTCACCGTGGGCTGAGGTCTGTGAGACGCTTTTGTCCACATGTAGCACAGGGTGGAGCCTCCGGAGAACTCCTGAGCAGATGGTTGTTTCCCTCATTTCACAGATGGGGAAACGCAGGCCGCAGAGGCTAAGTAGCTTGTCAAGGTCATGCACTCTTGCTGGTCTGGCTCTGGCTAGGGGATGGCGTTGGGAGGAGGGGCTGGTGGGGAAGGCTGGAGAGCTGTATTGCAGCGGGAGTGTACGGGGTCCCTGGTACCTGGATGCTTGGGAACCCCCCTGCAGCTCTGTCAGGAGGAAAATCTCTGCTCTGGGGGAGACGGTGGCCCACCAGACAGGCCAAGCCTGAGCGATTGGAGGTGGGGGGGGAGGCGTGCACCCTGGAGGGGAAGCTCTTCCATGCACTTTCTACAGAACCACGGTGCCGACACATCCGCCTGGGGGCGCTGTGGCTTGCTCTTCTCAGTCCTGGTACCTTCCCAGTGGGCCCCATGAGGAGAGTTTGAGGATCTTGAGTTCCATCAAGCAGGGGGCACCGGTGTGACGGCTCAGGATGGACATGCCTACTCGCTTGTGTGCCGGGGAAGCAGCCTCGGTCTCCTTTTTCTGGAACTTACTTTCACACGGGGCGGATGGATTTTTTAAAAAGTGCACACCAAAGGAGGGGCATGAAGGAGCCCAGCAGGTCGCTAGAGCACTGAGGTGGCACAGTCCCACGGAGCCCAGGGTACGACAGAGCAGGGAGGTCCGTGGGAGGGTGTGGTGAGCCTCGAGGCTGTGGAGGGAGTTTGTGTCGATCTCTGGCAGAGCTGGGCAGCTTTAGGGAGCAGCTTTGTAATGACCAAATTTGGCTCTACAGCGATCGCTATCAACTGGGGAGAGTCGGGGGTTAGACTGGCACAGGCGCTAGCTAGGGGTCTGTCGGGGCTGTGCAGGAGCCGGGCTGGAAGGTTGGCCTGGAGTTGGAGGACAGCAGTGCACAGGGGAGAGCGGTGTGGGGTGGGCCCTCCAGCCGTGCTGTCCACACGATCTGTTTAATTTGAAAGTTATTAAACTTGAGCCAGTGAAGAATTCAGTGCCTCAGTGGTAGTAGCAGCCCCCTTTCAGGTGCTTGGTAGCGCTGTGGTCAGTGCCTGGTGTATCATGTAGCCTGGAGAAACCATGTCCGACCTTGCTCGACGTTCTACCCCATGCACGGGGCTTCACGGTAAAGCGGGGGGATGAACAAAAGAGACCCCAGGGTTTTGGTCTTACCGTGATGGGGTATTGAGAGGGGAGGAGTGGCTGGGGGCTGTGGGGTGGACAAATACACAGACCCCTACCCCGCCTCTGCTCGCAGCTCCTGGATAAGCCCCTCTAATTTCTCCAGCTTCCGACGACATCTGAAGTCTGTGTTTGGTACCTGTTACCCCAAAAAGACACCTTAATCCTTCTCCTCAAATCCTAACAGAAACAGGAAACAATGTGAGCTTATTATTTGTAGATTTTAGGTACAAAGTCTGGAAGGCAGATTTTGTCTTGCTACTGAGACGTACATGTCTCTGTGTTCCAGGTATCGAGAACCTTCCATGTGAACTGCAGAGGAACTTCCAGCTCATGCGAGAGCTGGACCAGAGGACAGAAGGTGCGTCCTGGCCTTTCAGTGCAGCCGCGGTACCCTCTGACAGCAGGGGAGAGGGGGCTCCGAGACACACTGGGGTGGCACCAGTCTTCCAGGGGACCCAGGCAGCCTCGCCTAAGGCTTTGGGCGGTGCATGGCATCTATTGTGTGCTGACAGTTTAAAATTAGACTTAGGAGCACATGGGGGTCTCAGCCAGGTAAGCGTCCTACTTTGGCTCAGGTCATGATCTCACGGTTCGTTAGTTTAAGCCCCTTGTCGGGCTCTGCTGACAGCTTAGAGCCTGGAGCCTGCTTTGGATTGTCTCCCTCTCTCTGCCCCTCTCCCGCTCATGCTCTGTCTCTCTCTCAAATATAAATAAAATATTTAAAAAATTAGACTTAGTTTCTTAGATTTCAGTGTATCTTCATATAGCGTTTAAAAAATTATTTATTTAGAGAGAGAGTTCACGTGGGCAAGTGGGGGAAGGGCAGAAAGAGAGGGAGAGAGAATCCCAAGAGGACTCTGCATTGCCAGCACGGAGCCTGATGCGGGGGGGTGGGGGGAGGTTGAACTCACAAACTGAGATCACGACCTGAGCTAAAATCAAGAATCAGATGCTTACTTGACTGAGCTGCCCAGGTGTTCCTTTCTGTGTCATTTTTATAACCATCATCCATTCGTTGTAATCAGAATGTTTGTCATCTTTCCTTTCCTTTCAAAGATTTACTGTTTCTCGGGGCTCTGGAGTGGCTCAGTCATTGGGTGTCCAACTTCAGCTCAGGTCATCATCTCACGGTTCAAGTGTTTGAGCCCTGCATCGGGCTCTGCTGTTAGCGTGGATCCTCTGTCTCCCTCTCTCTCTGCCCTTCCCCCCTCCCAGAAAGATAAAATAAAATGTTAAAAAATTATTTTTTATTTTTAAACTGTGTATATAGAATTTAAACAGATAGTACTTTCTTACATTCTGGTATTTAACTCCTTGTTTCAAAACGTTATATTTTTGCTATTTCTTCCTTTGTCTCCCTTTTGGTTTGGGCTTTACTCCGTCATTGTGGAATATGAAAGTTCCCTTCCCCAGTTGCACCTGCCCAGCCCCTGCACTCCGCCCTCCCCCGTCTCCTGGTGTAGTGGGTTAGAATCTGAATCTGTGGTACCACAGGGATGGTGTTTCCTTCAGGACTCTTGTGTAGGCGGTTTGCAGCTGAGCCACGTTACATGCTCTGTTTGTGTGACTTCTTTTGAAGAATTTGTTTTTCTTGGAGTTCATCATTGCTTTGTTTTCCACATTCCATACATGTTCCAAATTTTCTGTGCGTCCGCTGCCCCAGGTTATCTGCCCGCTCTGAGTTTGCTCTCCAGACGCAGATTTTTCCCCTGGGGCCTCCTGTCCTGCGGGCTCTGCCTGGGCTGGTTGTTTCTAGGCTTGCTGTGCAGGCTCTGCCTCTGCTCGTCTTCGATGTAGGACCCCTAGTGCTTTGTTGTAAACACCCTCTGTCCGGCTGCTGCCGTGACGTATTGGAGCCTTTCCTGCAGTAGTTTCCCGGAAAAGGTACACGGGAAGGTAGATTTCTTAGAGCATTGTATGTCTGAAAGTGTGTTTGTTCTGGTCTCCTATCTGATGAACAGTTTGGCTGGGTATAGAATTCCAGATTGACAGTCATTTTCCCTCAGAATGTGGACGGCACTGCCGCTTTGTGTCCCAGCTTCCACATTGCCCTTGAGAAATGTGATGCCATTTGGGTTCTTCATCCTTTATACCTGTGGAGTTTTTTTTCCCTTTTACTGTTTAGCAGCCTCTGGGCTGCCATTTTTGTCCTTGAGGTTTTGTGTTTTGTGGCAACGTATTTGGTTTCGGGTGACTTTTCATTCATTGTGTCTGGCATGTGTTTTGTAAGATCAGAATAGCTGTGGTTTTTCACTGAAGTACAGTCTCTTGACTAGCAAATACAGAGACTTCTTTTATTGTGAAAAATGGCATTTACATTCAGAAATAAGCATACGTTTGTAAATTGCCTAACAAATACCACCTTGTGAACGTCTACCTAGATGGAGAATTGGAACCTCTGGAGCCTGGGGCGCGTGTAACCCTGCTGAGCATGCTACCCCTCCCCCCAGGGGCCCCATACCCCAGGTTTCCCCTGCAACAGTAGTTTTCTCATCTCCCTAAACCGGAGAGTTCACAGTTGTATCAGTCCGCCCCTGACTGTGAGCGGAATCTCACAGTATGTTGTCCTTTGTGTCTGGCTCTTCTTGCTCGGTGCCACCTTTAGTGGGATTAATCCGTGTTACTGTGTGTGGCAGCTGTGCTTTTTGGTGCCGGTAGCACTCTGTGTGATTGGACCACGGCTCATTGATCCATCTTACTGTAGGTCGCACATTTGCCTTGTTTCCTGTTTTCTGCTTTCATGGACGTTCCCCCTTGTGAATCCTAAATCTTTTCGGGTGTGGACTTAAGGGTGGTAGGCAGGTCGTAGCTGAGTGAGCACACAAGTTGTTACTCAGACAGGGGTGTTGAGAGTCAGAGAGGCTGGGATGGTGGCTGTGCGCCGTCACTTCCTGAGTATGCTGCCTAGGCTGTGGCATCTGCGTGTCGCCTAGCGCCAGGCTGCCTGCAGAAGGCGGTGCGCAACGTGCGCCCATCAGCCGTGCTTTGGGGTTCGGTCCACCACCTCTTACTGGAACTGGCTGCTGAGCTTTCCTTGTTCTGGAGCCACGTGCAGAGACTAGCTTTACCCCTGTTTCCCTATCAGATAAGAAAGCAGAGATCGACATCTTGGCCGCGGAGTATATCTCCACCGTGAAGACGCTGTCCCCAGACCAGCGCGTGGAGCACCTGCAGAAGATCCAGAGCGCCTACAGCAAGTGTAAGGAGTACAGCGACGATAAGGTGCAGCTGGCCATGCAGACCTACGAGATGGTGAGGAGCGGGGGCGGGGGCCAGGGAGGGGTGGGGAGGGCAAGCCCTGCCCTGTTCTGTAGGAAGGCACCCCGTGGGTGCCCTGGGGAGTCCGCCTCTTGGACTGTGGCATGTGGCACTGGCTGAGTGTTGTGAGCCCGCTGGCTCCTTGTCAAGTCCCGGCAGTCTCTGTGGGCCCGTCTGTGGGGCAGGTGCCTGCTTATCCCCGCACTTCCACCCCATTGGCTTCTCTCTCTTCTTTCTAATGTCTTGGTCGAAATACCTAAGGCATTGGAGGCATTTTCTGTGAAAATCTGTACGTTCCGCAGATTTTTATGTCTTTGCCCCCATTCCATTGTACTTCACGGTCCCGTGTCTCATTATTGTCTGCCTCCACGAACGGACATTACTCTGCTGAGGTGTGAGAACACGTGGGGACAAGGAGTCCAGCATAAGCTCTGAGATAGCGGGCCTTGTTCTATAGCGCTCTGTTAACTGAAGACTCAGTTGAAGGCCAAGAAAGTTCGTCCTGGTTGGTTTCCAGTGTGTTTGTGATTCCTGAGGTGCCTGCGTTCATTTTTAAGTAAGACTCGTGAGCATCCTTTTCCGTAGGTGGATAAACACATCCGCAGGCTCGACGCGGACCTGGCGCGCTTCGAGGCCGACCTGAAGGACAAGATGGAGGGCAGCGACTTTGAAAGCTCTGGAGGACGAGGGTTAAAAAGCAAGTCTGTTAATTTTTCTTTATTTTGTTACTGTTATGTATAGAATTTTGAAGAATTTTGTCTGATGAGTGTATTAGGAACATTTTGGTAAATATCACATTTGAGTAAATCTGACCCTGCTTTAGTGAATTCTGGAGATGATTGGGGTTTGTATTGTCTTTCAGAAGGTCGGGGTCAGAAAGAGAAAAGAGGCTCCCGAGGTCGTGGCAGGAGGACCTCAGAAGAAGACACTCCAAAGAAAAAGAAGCATAAAGGAGGGTGAGAGGCTCTTTTCCTTGTCTCTTTCTCCCAGAAGGTTATTTAGTGTTAGTGTTTACGTAGCATCCAGAACACCAGTGGCCGCTAACAGCAAGGAGGTGCCCCCTGCATGCCTGCTGTGGGTGTGGTTCCGCCTGCCCCCGTGTGCCGGGCCCGACGAGGCTCCCGGGCAGAGTGACTGCCGAGGTGTTATGGCTGGTGTGCGGGCAGCTGGGTGTGCACGGGGCGATCTGACTGCAGAACCCACGCTCTGAGCCACTGTGTGTCGTGCCTCTTGAGTGACGTGTAACATCTACTGGCATTTCAGGCCAAGCTGCACTTCAGGAGCTAAATATACAGCTGTTCGTTGTTTTATGTACAAGTATATATTTTGGATACATTCATTATGAAGTTGCACGACTGTATTTATTAAACATATATGTCATTTACCTTGAACTTCGGCATATTTCATTTAAAACATTCTCCCCCACCCCCTCACTGGTATTGTATTTGCTTCACAGAAGTTACTTTAGACTCAGAAAATGGTAAAGTGCTGACTGGCTTCTGGGGCGATGGTTCTGACAGTTACGGGGAGATCTCAGGAGAGTCCATTCTTGACAAAAAATGGGAGAAGTTTTGGTTCTGTTTATTTTTTTAAATGTTTTTTTATTTATTTCTGAGAGAGAGAGATGAGACAGCGTGAGCAGGGGAGGGTCAGAGAGAGAGGGAGACACAGAATCTGAAACAGGCTCCAGGCTCTGAGCTGTCAGCACAGAGCCCGATGTGGGGTTCGAACCCACAAACCATGAGATCATGACCTGAGCTGAAGTCGGATGCTTAACCGCCTGAGCCACCCAGGCGCCCCAGTTCTGTTTATAATTTTATCTTAAGCCCCAAATACAATCTTGCAGTTAATAAGTGCAGAGCAACCAGGTAGTTTAATGAATTACTCTGAGGTGCATCCTGGTCAGTGATTGACCTTGGCCAAAAGTGCTCTCATGTGCTCCCTAGAAGCCATAACCTCCTCCCTCTGCCCCAAGTACACACGACCCAGAGTTATGTGGTGTTTATTTCCATTCTTTGTAGTCCTGTCCCCCATGTGTGCACTCCTGGATGCTAAAATCTTGCTTTTTTTTCCTTTAATTTATTTTTATTATTACTTTTTAAATGTTTATTTTTGAGAAAGCGAACATGAGTGAGGGAGGGGCAGAAAGACAGGGAGACAGAGTATTCAAAGCAGGCTTGAACCCACGAACTGCGAGATCATGACCCAAGCGGAAGTCGGATACTTAACCGACTGAGCCACACTGGGGCTTTATTATTTTTTTCCTTTAACTTTATTAAGGAATGATTTATACACAATAAAATGTTTTTATTTTAAATTTACAGTTTGATGCTATATTCAGTTTCTTTAAAATTTTGGACTATTCAACCTTTCTATTTCATCTTGAGTCAGTTTTGGTTATCTGTGTCTTTCAAGGAATCGGTTGTTTCATCTAGGTTGTCAGATTTATTGACATCAAGTTGGGCATAATATTACAAGATTGTTTTTCTCTTGTAGGATTTGTACTGATGATTCCTCTTTCAGACCTAATATTGATGATTTATGTCTTCTCTCATTTTGTCTTGATCTTTTCAGAGAATTAGCTTTTGGTTTCATTGATTTTTTTTTTATGTTTTATTTACTTATTTGGAGAGAGAGAGTGCAAGCGAGGGAGCAGCAGAGAAAGAGTGGGAGAGAATCCCAAGCAGGCTCTGTGATGTCAGTGCAGAGCCTGTTGTGGGGCTTGATCTCACAAACGTGAGATTGTGACCTGAGCCGAAATCAAGAATCAGATGTTTAACTGACTGCGCCATCCAGGTGCTTCATGGTTCATTGATTTTTATATTTTATCTATTGTTTGTTTTCTGTTTCATTGATTTCTGCTCATGTTTTTATTTTTTCTTTCCTGCCACTTGGATTTACGTTTCTTTTTCTGGCTTTTTAAGGTAGAAATAACTAAGATCAATGATTTTCATACTTTCCTTTTCTAATATAAGTATTTAAAGCTATAAGTTTTTGTAACTACAATCTAATTACCGTTTTAGCATATCCCATAAATTTGGGTATGTTATATTTTTATTTTTATTTCATTCAAAATATTTTAAACTTTCCTTTGTGATTTTTTTTTTTGACTTATAGTTTATGTTAAGGTATGTTCTCAGCTTCTAAGTAATTTGGGATTTTCCAAATCCCAAAAGATAACTTTGTGATTTCAGTTTCTTATTTATTTCTGCTGTGATCAGAGAACACTGTATAGCTGAACTTCTCTGGAGTCGATGAAGACTTGTGTTACGGTTTATTGTCCTGTCTTGCTGTGTGTCACGTATGCTCTTGACAAGAATGTCATGTTTTCTATCGGTGGCGGCATGTTCTGTAGCTTGGTTGGTGGTTATCTTGGTCTTCTGTGTCCTTCCTGACCCTCTGTTTACTTGCTTGATGAATCACTGAGAGAGACATCTACAATCTCTCACTCAGGCTGTGGGTTTGTTTGTTTCTTCTGTCAAATTTTGCTTCACATATTTTGAAACTCTTTTTTGTTGGTACATATGCATTTAGGTTTTTCTAAAAATAACTGACTCATTGTTATGAAATTTTTTTCTTTCTTTTTCCCTTGCAGTATTCTTTATTTTGACGTCTGCATGATCAGATAGTCACTCCAGTTGTCTTACGCTGAGTTTTCACATGTTGTATCTTTTTCCTTTCTCATTATTTTTCTTTCAACATATTAATGCTTTTTTTTAGAGTTTTTTTAAGTTTATTTATTTAGAGACAGAGCATGAGCAGGGGAGGGACAGAGAGAGAGAGAGAATATCCCAAGCAGGTTCCGCACAGTCAGCGCAGAGCACAACATGGGGCTTGATCTCATGAACTATGAGATCGGGACCTGAGCTGAAATGAAGAGTTGGACGCTCAACCAACTTAGCCGCCCGGGTGCCCTACAGTGAGTTTCTTGAAGGCAGCAAAGTTGAGTCTTGCTTTTTTTTTTTCCTTTAATCCAGTCTGACACTCTCTCCCTTTTCATTGCAGTATTTAGAGTGCTCAGATTTAACATTCTCACCAGTATGATTGGATTTGAATAAACTTTCTTGCTGGTAGTTGTACACTTGTGCTCTTAGTTTAATGTCTTCTTTTAGATTGTGTGTTTTGAAAAAACTTTTTAAAGTCTTTGTTTATTTTTGAGAAAGAGGGAGACAGAGTGCAATCAGAGGAGGAACAGAGGGTGGGAGAGGGAGACAGAATCCGAAGCAGGCGCCAGGCTCTGCGCTGTCAGCACAGACCTCAACGTGGGCTGCAAGTTCATGACCTGAGCTGAAGTCACACGCTCAACTGACTGAGTCACCCAGGCGCCCCATATATATATTTTTTGAGTACATTTTTTGGTATTCTATTTTAAGGACTGTTTTAGTGTGTCCACACTCAGTGATATTACACTATTTCATGTCTAATGTAAGAACCCACACAAGTACTTTTCCTCTTGTCTTCTGTGCTGTGATTGAAAGTTTGGCTTCTACACATGATGTCCTCACAACATATTGTTTTTATTACTTTAGGTCTAAACCATTAATCATATTAAACAAATTATAAAACACAAGAAAGTTTTATTGTCATTCCACGTACGTACCATTTCCACTGCCTGTATTTCTTTACACACATGAAGGTTTTCATCTGTTGTCATTTCTCTCCCATATAAAGAACTTCCTTTCACATTGTTTTACACTGTGGGTCTGCTGATGGTGAGGAGTTTTCTCAAAAATTTCTTCTCTGAAAATGTCTATTTTATTTCCTTTTTTGAAGGATATTTTGTTGGATACAGAATTTTAGGTTGACTTTTTTCCCCCAGCACTAAAGATAGTTATTTCCCCATTGTCCTCCATCTTGCATTGATTCTGATGAGAAATTAGTGATCTTTTATATGTACATGGCTTTATTTTTGTCGCTTCTAAGATTTTCATTCAGCAGTTTGATTTTTACCAACTTAATTATGATCTGTCTGGTGTGGATTTTTTGTGTATATTCGGCTTGGAGCTCATTGAAAGCTTCTTGGAACTAACTGTTGGTTTGTAGTTTGTAGGAAATTTGGAAAATTTTTCAGACATTCTTAAGATAGTTTTTCTGCTTCCCTTTTGGCTTTTTATGGAACTCCAATTACATGTATGTTAGCTTGATATTTTCCTATAATTCACTGAGGCTCTGCTCATGTTTTGGGGGGGAGCCGCGCCAGCATTTTTCTTCCTGTGCTTCTGTTTGGATAGTTTCTATTACTTTATCTTCAGGTCTTTTCTTCCTTGCCACCTAACTTAATCCTAGTTTCTTTTAGTCAGTTTTTCACTTAAGAGGTTTTTTTGGTAAAGAAGTTCTGTTTACAATGTATTTACTTTTAATACTAGTTAATAGTTCTCATATTACATTTGTTTCTCTTTATCTCTTTTAACATATGCACTTAGATTTTTTTTAAAAAGACCTTCTTTTAAGATTCTGTCATTTCCAAGGACATTTCTTTCTTTTTTGAAAAACCTATTCATTTGGATACCTGAGTGGCTCAGTCAGGTGAGCGCCTGACTCTGGATTTCAGCTCAGGTCATGGTGTCAGTGTTGGGATCGAGCCCCGTGTTGGGCTCCATACTGAGAGTAGAGCCTGCTCAAGGTTCTCTCTCTCCCCTTCTGCCCTTCTCCTCTGCTTGTGCTCTTTCTCTCTAAAATGAAAAAATAAAAACAATGCTTAAAAATAACCCCAACTTACTAAGGTATGATTGAGGTACAGAAAGCTTTCTGTATATGAGGCATATTATTTGAGTAGTTTGGCAGGTCTGTTTCTATGGACTAATTTTTCTCCTGGTTAAAGTCACATTTTCCTGCTTCTTCACACATCTAGTGATTTCTTTATGGGATGTGGGACAGTGTGAATGCTATATTGTTGAGTGTCTGGATTTTGTTGACTTTATTTAACAGGTATTGAACTTATTTTATTTTCTAACTTTTTGGTCAGTAGTTTAATCACTCTTGGATCAACTTGATCCTTTGCAGGCTTGTATTTAACCTTTGTAAAAAAAAAAAACACAAAACAAAACCCTTTTTCCTTAATGTTTGTTTTTTTATTTTATCTGAGAGAGAGTGCAAGCAGGGAAGGGGCAGAGAGAGAGGGAGACACAGAATCTGAAGCAGCTCCAGGCTCTGGGCTGTCAGCACACAGATCCTGACATGGGGCTTGAACCCACACACTGTGAGATCATGACCTCAGCGGAAGTCGGACGCTTAACCGACTGAGCCACTCAGGTGCTCCAGACACCCTTTTTCCTTAAAGGGCCAGATAGTAAACATTTTAGGCTTATAGACCATATTGTCTGTCGTGAATAGTCAGTTCTGCTGTTTTATGTCAAAAGCACCCACAGAAAATACGTAGCTGTGTGATGTGGCTGTGTTTCAATAAAACTTTATTTACAGAAACAGACCGCTGCCCTGTAGGTTAGGGTAGCCTTACTGTAGGCTTGGTTGAGCCATACTGCTGAGGTATAAGCCCTCAGGGTTCCCTTCGGAGCTGAGCGCTGTTGTGTTTCTCAAGGCCTCTGCTTGCTGGCTGTGTGGAGCGCGTGTGTGGGGCGTGTGTGTGAGCTCTGCTGTGTTCAGCTCACAGCGCCCCTGCCCTCTGCCTGGATTCCTGGATTCTCACCTGTGCACAGCTTAAGTTTTTTGCTGAAAACTTAAAGGGGTCCCTTTGCAGATTTCGGGAGTACGTCCTCTTAGCTTCTTCCTTTCTAGCACCCTGCTGCCGGGTTCCAGCAGCCTGGCCTCCTGGGACTGTGGTCTTTCCCTCAGGTCTAGACCGCCATACTGCGTGTGGGTTTCCTCTTGGTGGACCGGAGTGTGGGAAGTGCCTCCAGCAGGAAGCCGACACGATTGCAGGCTCGCCTCAGTTACCCTCTCCCCCGGGCCGCCGTCCTGGGCGCCTGCCCTGTGCTGAGCAGCTGTTGCGTCTTCCGTCCAGTTTTCTCCCTGTTCACGGTGGGGGTCGCGTTCGGTGCCTGCTGTCAGAAATGGAAGGTTTCTTTTCTCTGTTGGATGAGCCCTGTAGTCTCCCTCACGTGAGAGTTTTTCTCCATCCTTTTCCTTGTTCCACAGTTTTCCTTCTGAGGAGCCCAGACTGGCTCCCAGCGTTTCCTAGAGTCTCTCTTTGGCTGACTGAGCACCTCTTCACTCAGCACTCTCCCGTGTCCGTGGATTTGCTCGCTCTCCAGCCGGGAGCACAGTTCCGCGTGTGCCCTCGCTGGTGCCATGTTCTCGAGTTTAGGCCGGGGACACGGGACGGAAGGGGCCTGGGCCATGGCGGGTCTCTTCGTGACTGACTGGCATGTGAGCGGTCAGGCCGGGTTGCCTCCGCGTGGGTGGGCCCCGCAGCGTGACCTCTTGTGTGTTGTCGCTTTCCAGTCTCCAGCACCCGTTTGATTCCTTTTTTAAAATAGATGTTAGTTCCTCTTTGGACAGTGTCCCTGTTGGCATTCACGTTATTCAGGTTTTCCTTGTAATCGCCACTTCAAGCCCTTGTCTGCAGATTTGCACATCCAGTCATTTGTGGCTCTGCTTCTGTTAGGTTTTCTTCTGATTTTTGCCCAGGTTTCCTGCTCTCTTTCCCGCCCTGTAGTGTTTTGTCCGTCTGACTTTAGGTATAAGGGGAGCCTGGAGAGTGAGATTTCTGCCGTTCCCCAGAAAGAGCTTATTTTGCTTTTAGTTCAGGCAAACTGAGCAGGGTGGAGTCCGGGGGCCCCTCTACCTGTCCCCCGTCCCCTCTGATGTCAGAGGCCTCATGACGGAGGACCCTCCCCAGGGCTTATTTCTCCTTCCTGAAAGGCTCCCGTGTGGTAGTCGCCATTCTGGCTTTCCCTTCTCGTCTCCTGCCTGTGTCGCTCCTGTGGTTGGCGCAGGTGTGGAGGAGGAGGTCGGCCCATCCCTGAGAACATGACAGCCTTTCCGCTCAGCCTTTCCGCCGCTCGGCAGCCTCTGCGTAGCCCCCAGGGTCGGTGATGACTGGGGTCACAGCTGCCCTGCGTATAGGGGTCTCAAATGTCGGTGGCCGTGTGTGGCCCTCAGAGGGCAGCCGGCCCTTGGCTAAGGCCGGGACACGAGTGGCCTGCCCGCTCGGCCACTGCCCTTCCCTTGGGCCTAGGGCGTCTGGGCCTTGTCACTCCACAGCTTTCCAGTGTCCGTAAAATGTGGTTTTAGCGACTTGTTGGATTTGTCCTTTGACCTGTAGCAGCAGGGTTCTGAGTCGTCCCGCTCCGTGCTGCTCTGAATCCAGAGGCACGGTGGCCTTTTCTGGAGCCAGCGGGTGCTCTCATCAGCCTCTTCCCCACGGGTCCCTCGCGCTCTCAGGCGCGGTTAGAGCCTCCCTTGCAGGACGCCTGCCTGGCTGTGCCTCAGCCCTCCCAGTGACACACATCTTAGCATCACCTGTGTGGGCACACTGGAGGTGGCCGGGCATGCGGCATTTCCCCCGAGCGGAGTCGTGACGGTGTGCACGTGGCTGACTGCTGTCTGACGGCGCTGAGGAGGCGGCCGCTGGCCTTTATGCCGGGCTGGCTGCGGGCGAGAAGGGAGCGTCGGATGGTGATGTGTGTAGAGCACCTTGGCGGGTCCAGCTCGGCGCGGCCCTTCTCTGCGAATCCCTTTTCCGCGGCCCCCCTGGAGGGGCTCTGTATGGAGGTCGGGACAGGCCAGAGGACTGCTCGAGCAGAGGTGTGCGAGGGGCGCTGGGCCTGTCCTGAAGTCTGGCTCTGACTCGTGCTTGGCAAGCACACTGGGCGGTCGGAGCTTCAGGCACGGGAGGGGATCCCTGGCAGTGCCTGGTGAGGGGTGCCTGCAGCGTCCAGGGAAATTAGCTTGGAGGACCCCTCTCGTGCCCGGCAGGGTCGGAGTGAGGTGGCCGGCACGGCTGAAACGGGGTCTCCAGCCCAGGACCTCCTGGCACCCCTCCCTCCTCCCACCACAGAGCCCCCTCAGGTGGGATCCAGGGGCGACCCCGGGCCTCCTCGCTGGTTGGGTGGTGCCCTTGAACCTGGGGGACAGGAGCTCAGGTCAGGTGGTGGCTCGTGGTGTGGGAGTTCCGTCAAGCTTCACAAGCAGAGCGCACAGGCAGGCGAAGCGCGGTTGGCACATGGAAGGCGCGTGCCCTGGGGGTGTCTGGGGGTGACCCCGAGGCAGGTGGGCACTGATCTCCAGGTGAGTCTCCGGGGAGGAGGCCCCACTGGGGGTAGGACACGATCTAGCAGGCGGTTAGGCACGGGGCCAGGGGCCAGGTGGGAAGTGGAGGTTTGGTGGCAGACAGGAACCCACACTCTAGTCTGGAGAGTTGCTTGATAGAAGCGTGTGGACAGGGCACAGTTTGTGATGCTTTCTCACTTCAGATAAGTAGAGGGAGTCCTGTCTGTCCCCAGAGACAGAGCACTTATAAAGGGAAGAGGCTCAGACAGACCTTGGAGCCCTTGGGCAGCACTCAGGTGGGAGGCAGCACCACAGCGGGGGGTGGGGGCTGGCGCTGAGGACAGGGCTCTCTGCGTGGTGCTGGGTCAGAGGACGCCCCTGTCTGGTGTGGGGGCTGGGACGGAGGATAGCGCTCTCTGCAAGGGGCAGTGTGGCGCGTGGTCAGCCCTGGGTATCTGATGGCAGAGGCACTGAGGGTCTGTAGACAGGCATGTGGGCGAAAGGGGAACGGCGATTGCCTTTGGGAATCAGACTTCTCCTTGTCAGTGTGTTTAAATTTTGTGGTCTGTCACAGCTTCTCAGCGTCCCCGGCCCCAGGTTCCTGGTATGAACTTACGGTGTTTCCTTAGCAGGTATACACTTGAATTACGTGTGTGTTCTAGATTCTGCAGGGTGAGATAGGGAAGGTTGCCTTTCTGTGCTAATAGGAACCCTGTAGCTGGTTATTTGTTTGAAAGCTCCCGAAACACGTAGAAGCCTGAACCCCCAGCCCTCCTCGCTCAGCTCCCTCACCTCCTGGCTGCAGAGCTGTGGGCAGCTGGCTTGGAGGGAAGCACAGGCAGGCTGGGCTCTGGCCGGGCCTCTGGTTAGTGACCGAGGGAGCCGCGGGGACAGGGGGCTCTAGGCCCACTTCATGGGGGTGGGTGACGCGGACCGTGATCAGGGAGTGGGCAGCTAGGGACTGCAGGGGCTCCTGATACCTGCTGCTTCAGGGGTGGGGAGGGCAGCTGGGGGTTCTCGGGTTAAGGGTGAAGGCACTGGGAGCATGTGTGGGGTGGAGGTCTGGTGCCTGGTGTGCTGGGTTGGGTTGGGGCCTGGGATTCTCAGGTGTCGTCTGCTGGTGGCTGGTGAGTAGGGCTGTTTGCCTGCCCCCAGGGGAGAGGGCCCCTAAGAGGTGGGGGGGAGCCCAGGAAGCAGGTGGGAGGGAGGAGACAGTGAAGGACTCATGACCCCCGAGTGGGGCCACATCCCAGTGCTGTGTAGTAAGTGCTCCCCCTCAGGCCCTTGGGGTGCCTTCATGCCCATCTCGTCCGGTACCAAGGGGCCAGTCCCTTCTCCCCCCACACCTGCTGCTCACTGTTGTGGTTTCCCCGCAGGTCTGAGTTCACTGACACCATCCTGTCCGTGCACCCGTCTGACGTGCTGGACATGCCTGTGGACCCAAATGAGCCCACCTACTGCCTGTGCCACCAGGTGTCCTACGGGGAGATGATAGGCTGCGACAACCCGGACGTGAGTGAGGGCGCCGTGCACGGGGCGGGGGCTGGGGGGGCACGGAATCCTGACTGCGGCTCTGTCCTCTGCCTTGCAGTGTCCTATCGAGTGGTTTCACTTCGCCTGCGTGGATCTGACCACGAAACCCAAAGGAAAATGGTCAGTATGGGCGCTGCTCGGCCTCTCCCTGCCCGCGGGGCGTCCTGGGTGCTGCCCCCACCAGGACCGGCTGTGGCCGTGAGCTCGCCGGGCTGGGGTCCTGCTTCCTGGGGCTGAGCTGGTAGAGGGACGTCTGCACACCTCGCCTGGGTCTGGTCTCTCACGGTGTTCACATAATGCCCCTAGCTTGTTATTCTTCTAAGGAACAGCTATTCTGATGCTTTTGATTGAGGTAGAAAATGTGAAACGAGGAGCTCTTCCCCTGCGGAGTTTTGGGAAAAGGCAGAGAGCACAAGTATTAAATCTGAACCTGGGCAGAGGCCAGCCACCTGCCGCAGGGCTCGTGTTCAACTGGGACGGAGTGCGGGGCGCTCGGGCACTCTCTCTCCCCCATCCTTGTGTTTGCTGGCGGCTTCGGTGTCGTTCCTGAGAGTTCTTTAAGTAAAAACCAGGTTTTATTTACCTGTGCGTAGAATGGATCTCTGTTCTAGAATGAGGTCTTGGAGATTGTCCTCTGTGTTTGCGCGTGTGTGGACGGAGGGGATGGCAGACCATCCAGAGGACAGGCTGTGCTGTCCTGGGGCTCAGCGGGCGGTGGCTGAGGGGGTGCTCACATGTCTGCTCCCACGTGTGTCCCGGCACCTGCCGGGTCACCTTAGGGAGCCTGAGCAGTGACTGCTTGGGCCCTTGACCGTGAGTTACAGCTGGGGCCCGGGCACCCAGGTGGGGGGCTGCGAGGCAGGGAGACGTGATTCAGGTTCAGACATGGGTTCGAGCTGTTGGTAGAACTTCTGGGTGGAAGAGTCAGTGGGCGTTGGAAGATGGTTTTGCCTCTGGGAGGGTCCATGCGCCGTGTGCAGAGTCGGGGAGGCAGGTGGGGCTCCACCTTGCTGTCTAACTCGGGGTTTCTCTGGGGTCTTTCCAGAATCACAAAGTGTTCAGGCTTCCTCCCTGTTAAGTAAGATTTCAGCTCTGACTGACATGTTCTTGCGGCATGAGCCTGCATGTGAGCACGTTTGCTGGTGGAGCTTTGCTTCCTCTGGGGCGGGGGGGGGGGGGGGGGGGGGGGGGGAAGGGGCGGTGCCGCGCTCAGTGCCCGCTCACTGGCACCGACCAGACACTGGGGAACTGAGCAGCCGGGGGCTGGGGGGAGCGGGGCTCAGTCACATGCAAGCTAGCCGCCTGGGCACTGGGAGTTCAGGAGGGTCCGAGGTGGAAGGCAGCTGGAAGGTCACCCGGCGTCACCAGCAGCTGCCGCGGTCCAGGAGTGCCCGGGAGCAAGCCCCGCTGTCGGGGGCGCGGAGCCTGCTTCCCCCGGGTCCCCAGGGAGCACTCGCTAATCACGTGGGGTCCAGGGCCCTCTCGGCCTGCCCACCCTGCTCGAGTGTGCCGTTTCTTCCTCTGCCGCACTTGGTCTGCCGGTGTGACTGTGGGGTCGCCTCTGCTTTGATCCCCGGCGGCCGCTTTGTCACAGGGAGGACCAGTTAACTAGATCGAGAGGAGCATTCATTCGTACAGTCTTGCTCGTTGACTCGTTTCTGTCACCTCGGAAACACGTGCTGCTACAGTGACTTGCTGGGGGTCTCTCCTTGTGGGGGGCGTCCTGTGGGAGAGCCACACGCTCTGCGGTTCGCGCTGTCTCCCGGCGCGGTTGCCGTGACGCGGCCACTGTCCCTGGAGGCCCCGAGGGTGGGGGGCGGGCCTCTGCACGCACAGGCCCGATCACCACGCCTCTCTCCTCAGGTTCTGTCCCCGGTGCGTTCAGGAGAGGAGGAAGAAGAAGTAAGGCTGGTGCCCGGATGAGAAGAGCGAGTTAATATATTCCTTCCTTCGTGTTGCAATATTTTCTCTTCATTTTAAAACTACCTTGTTTTGAATGATATTTAATGACTCAGCGGCCAGTTGTAATTCTGAACATTTCCTAAGACAAACAAGAATCCACCTGAGCCCTGTTTGCATGAGGAGCGATCTTATGGGGACTTGCCACAGTGACTTCATTCTCGAGACTTCTCGTACGGGCCCCGGCCCCGAGCGTGGCAGGTCCACCGAGTGGCCAAGCCTTCTGTGGGCGGCTGCACGGGGGCCCTTCCTGCCCGCCGCACTGCCGTCGCTCTGCAGCTGGGGTATGAGCCCGTGTGGTCCGACTGTCCCCGGGCGCCACTGTAAGCACGTCTGTCCCCGCCGAGGCGCGTGTGCGTGGAAGCTGGCGAGGCGTCGCTGGAAGGCGTCCTCTGTGTCTCGGTGACCTGCCTGGGACGGGTGGGGGCGTCCCCGGAGCAGGAGGGCCCACTCGCCGTGCACTGCCTTTTCGTCTGGGCTCCCACTTCCCTCCGTGAGGGCTTTCCCTTCTGGAGTGAGCAGCTCTGCATCAGCAGACGGGCTGGCCTCCCCGGGAGCAGCCCGAAGACGCCTGTCAGACGGCTGCTGTGCCGTGTCTCCGGGACTCCTGGTGTTTTTACTGTGAAGCTGAGATTATCTAACAGCTCTGTGTGTACACGAGGCGAGCTGCGTCTGCCACGGGCGGAGTTTGAACCTGCCGTGTTGCACACTGGTAAGCGGCTCACGCCCGAGGGGACCACAGTTCTGTGAGGCTACCCGGAGTCCCTGTGCCGCGGCGGTTCTGGAGTGAGGCCGGGAAACGGGAGCGCTTTTCCCTGAACTCTGCCAGACCAGCTGCAAACCGTCGTGTTGGTAGTCGGTGGGGGAGGAGCGTACCTGTGGTGGTGCGCGGTGTGACTTCTGGGAGCTTCCGTGCACCCCGAGACCCCCTAGCACCCACTCAGAAGAGCCCGTCTCTGTCCTGGAGGCGTGAGAAGAAACGCAGGAGGCAGAGTGGAGACGGGACATTCCCAGGTGAACGAGGGTCTCCTCTTTACAAGGAGGCCTTCTGGAACGCCGCCCTGCTTCCTCTGATGGCCTGTTTACCTCACGTGTCCCCCTGTTTTCTAGTATTTCAGCCGGGACAGGAGATGCTGCAGAGAGAGCCTCGGGCCGCCGTGTCGTGCACGGGCTGCTTCCCGCCAGCTCAGCTCGTCCTCGGTCTGTGAGCTCTGAGTGTTAGCCTCGCAGCGAGGGTCCAGCCGGGACCTGCGTCGTGCTCTCGGCGGGTCAGCCTGCAACCGACGTGCCGAGACCGGGGCTCGCTTCCAGGTGACTGCAGGTGGGGTTGGTTCGGCGCATGCGCCCCGGGCTGCGTGGTTAGGGTAGGGGGTCCCCGGGCCTTCCAGACTTTCCCGGAACCTGTGCCTCCCTGCTGCTCCGAGAGCAAGGGCGGGGGCTTCAGGATGAGCACCGGCCGGCACGAGCCCCTCAGTCTCCGCTGCAGCCAAAACTGCAGCGCGTCTGTATTTAGGAACTTAGCTTTTTGTTAACACAGGTGTTTAAAGATCGTGGGGAATAAATTGTGGGAAATTGTTTGCTTCACTCTTTTACCAGTGTTTGTGGAGAGGGTAGGTAAGTACAGTGAGTGTGTGATGACTTTCTGGAAGCTAGTTTAATATTTGCACTGCCTCTCAGAACACTTGCGGCCGTTGCCATCACGGGACGGCGGGTGATGACGGATGCAGGTGGATGGCGGGTCTGGCTCGCCCGTCGCCTGCTCTCTGGGGCCTCGAGCACATCACGGGAGAGACGGCCGACTGTGTGCGGAGCTCGTGTGCAGTCGGACGGTGTCTCTGCTGTCACTGTGTCACAGCCCGGTGCCGACCACTTCTTTTCCGGTTTCCGTGCCTCTCTGTTTCTGGTGTTCACTGTTGTCAGTTATGTTAGTACCTCCAAAACAACGTGTTTAGCTCTGGAGAAAACGGAAGATGTGAGCGGAATAGAAAGATTGCCTGGAATGCTGTTTGGGTCGAGACCGATCAGTTGCCCTTCCCAGCCGTGCACACCGTCTGCAAGTCAGGAGGACACTCAAGAGTGGCGCTTGGCTTCGGGAAGAATGTTCTGCCACCCCGCCTGGCCCTGGCCCTGGCCCTGGCCCTGGCCTTGCAGGGATGGCTGGCGCCCACGCAGCAGCTGAGCACTGCTCCGGGGGAGCCAGCCGCCCACTGTCGTCTGGGGGTGATTCCCACCAGACCCCCATCTGCCGGCCAGGTGCCGGATTGGACCCAGACGGGGCTGCAGAGCCCTGTTCCTTGGGTTGAGGGGGGTGTGGGCTGGGCCCAGTGGTCCCTCTCGCAGCTGTATCTGAGCCAAGGGTGCGGGCCCTCCACGGCTGTGGGGTTCGTGTGTGAGGGAAGGAGTACCTTATTCAGAGGAGAACCTGCACGTCCCTCGTTGTTAGTGCTAGGTTATCAGTCAGCAGCTCGACAGACAGCCTCTTGTTTTCCCACAGGAGGACACTGGCTGCACTTATAACCTGAACTGCCCCTCCCCCAGTCTATGGCCGTGCCAGGGGAGCTGCTGGCTGGGGTGACTGTCCCCATCGTGCAGGCTGGGGTCCCTGGGCAAGTGGATATGAAATGGGACTGGCCAGGGTCACAGGAGCCTGGTGGCTTCGAGTCTGCCCAGGGCAGCAAATGCTGAAGACACAGCCATGTGCACAGTGATGCTGGGGGCTTGGCGGGATGCATGGGGACACCGGGCAGCTGGGTGCCAGTCCTGTCCCAGGCACCCGCATGGCACTCTGCCTTCTGACTTGTGGCTGGCGGCTGTGCCCAGAGACGGCCCCCAGCACGAACACTGTCCGAAGAGCAGCTCCCCCGTGTGGCCGGAGCCGGGATCCAGACACTTAACCATGGGCCTTGGAGACTGCAGGTTTTCCTCAATTGCTAGTGAGCCGTGGCTGGTCCTCAATACCTGTGCTGAGAGGAGTTTTAAAACAGGAAGCCTAAGAAAATCGTTCTCACGCAGGAGAGGAGTCTATGAAGTTTCTTTCTTTCTACCCATGTATTTTATGGGGTTCACTTTGACCACATTTCATCCAAAAAGATGACACAGCTTTAACATGAATGTTACGTTTTATTTTCAAGGAATTATCTATGTTCCCTTTGTAAAGGAAAGATGATATTGTAAATCTTTTTATTAAATAATGTAAAGATGTATATCTGTATTTTTGGATCATGTTATAGATTATGGATATATTGTTTAATAAATAAAGTATTTTTTGGAACAAACATTTAAGAATGGGTCATTCCAGGAAATGTGAAAACTTCTATGTCGTGGCCAGAGAAGGTAAGTGTATCCTCTGTGGAATTTTTTTTTCTTTTTGAGACAGAGAGCGTGAGCAGGTGGGGGGGGGGGGGGGGGGGGGGAGAGAGGGAGAATCCCAAGTAGACTCCATGGTGTCAGTGCAGAGCCTGATGTGGGGCTTGAGCTCATAAACTATGAGATCATGACCTGACCCAAAGTTGGGATGCTCAACTGACTGAGCTCCCTCCCTAACCCCTGGCACCCCTCCTCCATGGAACTTGAAAGGGGACATGCAGTGAATGGGAGCAGAGGAGTTTCCCTGTACACAGGCCCAGGAAGGACCCTGGGCCTCAGCTCTTACGTAGTGTCAGAAGCTGGTCCCTAAGCTCACAAGAAATGTCAGTGTAGGGGCGCCTGGGTGGCTTAGTCGGTTAAGCGTCGACTTTCGCTTAGGTCATGATCTCGCGGTTCGTGGGTTCGAGCCCCGCGTCGGGC